AGAGAGAGAGGATACTCTGTAAGCAAAATGCCAGAAAATATAGTTTCTTCACAGAAATTAGAATACCTCAGCAAAAGACCTACAAAAATACAATTCTCTACCCTACAGTTCTATCTCGAAACCCCAACACAGTCCCAATCAATCTCTCTATATTTGTAGAATAAATCAAAGCTCAGAAGCCATGGTTGGCTCTATTATTCACAAAACAGGGGCTATTCTCCTCATAGGATTTCCGTTAACTGCTTCTCACTTTAACGACGTCGTTGAAGCTTTCGGCTTCGATAAACTGCCGTCGGTGGGTGGGGCCACCCCTCGGACTAACGTCCTTGGTCGGGTTTTCACTGCCAATGAGTGTCCTCCTGATAAGAAGATCCATTTTTATCATGAAATGGCTGAGTCTGCTATTTTATTTTGCTTTATTTTATATTTTTTCTCATTTTCCAAATTTAAATAAACACATTTTTTTATAATGGTTTATTTATATATAATTAATTCCTTTTCATATAGGTTATATATATATATATATATATAGGTTATTAGTGAAATAATAAATATTGTAATTGTTAAAAATAAATTGACTTGATGTTGAAATCAATTGTGTTTGTATCTAAATATCTGCTTTCTTTTAAGCCGATTGAATAAACCCACCTAACATTGCAATAATGGAGTCGTAATGGTGCGTTTGGAATGGCGGATTTACAAGATATGATATTAAAAAGATGGGATTTCTTTACTTTGGAATAGATGTTTTGTATGTGTGTGTATATATATATGGTTGTTTTATATATATATATATATATATATATATATATATATATATATCAATAAATCAGTGACTTAACGGTATCAGGCTTACCAATTAAGAAAAAAATATATATATCTGTATATATATGATTGTTTTGTATGTGTGTGTATTTTGTATGTGTGTGTATATGTTGAGATTGATGGGTTAATTGGGAATGATGACAGTCTGAGGAAGAGGAAGAAAGTAAAAAGTGTATGTTAGAGATAGTTTGGTTACAAAAATAATCAACATGAGGTGAAAGAGTAACATAGTTATTTAACACCTCAAAAGTACTATAACCGCACGAAAAACTACCATTTGGAATGTAAGTGAAATATTAAACCACTAATTCAAATATAAGTGAAATCTAAAATTAAAATACTAAAAAATGACCTAATTTCAGAGAATCTGATTGTTATTTACCCTAAATATTATTTGAGTGTAAAAATAAAAATTATTTTCTAAAAAATAAAAATTATATTCAAAGATCACTTAGTGTGAATAAATTTCTTGCTCATCACTGTACTAAATGGAAGAAATAATTTTATGAATGATAATTTAAGTAAAATATTTAATTTAAGTACTAATACTTATGCAATATATGTGTGTGTATATATAGTAGTATGTACATAAAATTGTTGTAAATGAATAAGATGGGCATTTAGCAGACAACAATCTAACAGGTACCTGCGTCATTTCATTGTTGTAAATTATTACTAGTATTTTATCTTCTTTTTTTCCTGCTTTTGCTTTATGCTTTACTTTTGCTTTTGGATCATATCATTCCTTTCTTTACTTTTAAATCTTTCACATCACATTTTTTTTATTTGTCACTGATTCAGTTTTCAACTTCTTCGTGTTGTGGTTTGACTCCATCATAATAATGACAATCATAACAATAACTATAATTATTCAAATCGAAAAGGCTTTACCAAGCATAAACAGCGTGAAAGAGATAGTATTACTTTAATAGAGGATTTATTTAAGTCCCATAATTTTGTATAGATTTGACATTGGTTTATTTTAAAAAATATATTAGAGATTAATCCTATTTTTAGATTTTTTTTTTGTTGACATTAGAAATTAGTCATATTTTTAAATCTTTCTTTAGCCAACAAACCGTACACTAAACAACTCAATAGTATTTTTTATAAAATTCCTAAACCATCCATTTGCTAAAATTATCCTAGTCACATACTTGGCTTTGTCATCTCTTTTTTTTGCTTGCTGCTTTTGTTTTCTGATTGAGCTGTAAAAAAACACGGAGAACCCTTGTACTTCCATTCCACAGGTAAAGTTAATTTTTTTTATAAATATTGTTCTTTGATTTCAATGAATCAATGGAGTAGTTTTTCTCCATTTTTTTTTTTTTCTTTAAGTCGAAATCTTTGATCCACACACAATCTTAGACAATGTCTTTGCTTCCCTTCCTCCGTCCTTGATTTAGGTACATGTATCTTATACCCAAAATAAAAAATAAAATAAAAAGAAAGAAATTAGCATGGTGAAAATATCAGTGTTATTTGATAAAACTGAAAATTAAATATAAAATTTTAAGGAATGAATTTTAAGTGCTGAAGTTTTTAAGTGCTGATTAAAAGGATTAATTTCACTGACACCCCCTCAGGTAAAAATATTAAAAAGACAACTTTATCCCTTATTTTTTAATCCTATTATTATTTCAAAATATTCTTTATACCTTCAGGTATATATATAGCTTTTTGTTCCATAATGATCATTAGATCTATCTAAAGAAATATGTTTCAATCAATTCCACTTCTTCTTCTGACTCCCAATCCCTTCTGGTTGTGGAAGAGCCCCCCGATCCCAGACTCATTCCCCAGCCCCCAAATGTTTGGAGAGATTTCCAAGCGTAGGCACTTTTTCGGAATCGACTTACTGGCAAAGGCACGACGCTTTATAGGGAGGACATGATTGAACAGTAGTAATAAAGGTATTTTTGAATATATATATATATATATGAGTGGTCAAACAAAATGGGTATGTATATAGGGTATATAAAAATGGGTCTGAATATAGGGTATATATATATATATATATTTGTATGTATATATATAGTTTTAGAGATATTTTAGTATTTTAAATGATTCTTTAGGCTAAAGGGTTACGAATTGTGTCTTTATTTTCTTCCATTTTATGACACACCAAACAGAGTATTTTAGGATGGTTCTGATTTTAGTATGTTCACTTAATGGAGGACATCCATGGATAATCAGTGGAGGAGAGACTCGGTCGATGACGGATCTGAGCAGAAAAATAACAAAAAAACTACCTTGAGACTCTGCTGTAGATACACCCATTAGCCATAAACGATGGTGTGGCTCCAAGAAGCCCAAGGTTGTTCCGGGAATAGTTAGAGAGAGAAATACAGAGGCGTAGAGAGAGATAGAGAGTCTTTTCTCCCTTTTTTGGGTTGGTGCGTAAACGATATTACCTATATATATATATATATTTGGGTTGTTCCGTAAACGATGTTACCTAATTGTAAATTTGTAAAACATTTAGGGACAGTTTAGTCTTTTAATATATTTCTTTAGGTCAAAGCCTTTTTTTGACAAAGCCAAAGGACAATTAAGTCATTTTACATGGTATCAGATGTTTAAAGATAACAGTTGGGTGTGAATGAAAAACGGAATAAATAACATGAGTGACAGTAATTTTCGAAAGTTATTTCAAGGTGATATTTGGTCAAACTTGAGGGGTGTCAGTGAAATTAACTCTGATTAAAAAATAAATATTTTTTAAATTTTTTTCAGCATTTAGTGATAAGTGATGTTCCAGTCACTTAAAATTTTACCCCATTTTAAGTGGGGCTTACCGTCTTAAGTGATATTCAAATTTCGTTATCAAACGCACTTAATTGGATAAACGCTTAATTTATTTATAATTAAACGCTGAATTAGATAATCAAACAACCTAGTCACCAGAAGAAGAAGAAGAAGAAGAATCAGAAAAAAAAGAAGAAGGAAAAAAAAAAAAAAAACCAAATTTATTTTGCCTACCCTAAAGTCATAGAATTAATCGGAAATACAATCACCAAATATAATAACACGAGTATATGAAGTAAATAAAGAACCAAATATAATGACATGAGTATATGAAGTAAATAAAGAAATTACTTCATATACTCATGATAAACAGCAATAGAGAGAGAGAGAGAGAGAGATAAGGGGTTAGGGTTCTGATCATCCTCTCTAGAGTAGACAAATTAGGGTTAATTTTGGAATTTAAAAATAAATAAATAAAATTTAACATTGTTTATTAGACTGTTTGTTCACTAACAGAAATATGACCGATCTCAAATGTTTTTTAATAAAATGACTAATCTTACAACCTATACAAAATTATTAGACTTATCAAAAAATCCCAGCAATAATTTTATACGAGTCTAAGCATGATGTCATCCTATTTATATCTTGTGTATTTTTTATTTTTTTGAAGAAGTTTTTAGTAGAGGTGGCAATATTTGGTACAACACGCTAACACGACACGAGATAAAAGGGTTTGGATTTGTGCTAATCATATTCGTGTCGTAATCATGTTGACACGGATTGACCAGTTAACTAAACGTGTCATGTTCGTGTTTGATCCTGCTAACACGATTATGACATGATTAACCTGATTAACTAAACGTGTCATGTTCGTATGAAAAATGACCTATTTAACTAAACGTATAGAATAAATGTGTCATGTGTGTGTCAAAATTGACTTAAACGTGTCATTTCGTGTCGTGTCAAGTTTTGACTCATTTATTAAATAGGTTACGCGTGTCGTGTCGAGTCGTGTTACACGTATAATAATTATATCGTGTTCGTGTCAAGGAATCTTGACACGATTAATAATCGTATCGTGTTCGTGTCGACTCTAATCGTATTCGTGTCATAATCGTGTTAACACGAACACTACCCGTTAATACGAATTGCCACCCCTAATTTTTAATCATATATCTTTAGGGTCAAGGTTTTAAAATGCATTAACAGAATTTTAATTATGAAAATATTTTATTTCTCTGTTTGATAGATCACAACTAGGATTTCCATTTAGAATGTTTTAAACTAAGTCACATAATTCTTCTAAACAGAAAACACCCTCACGATATGCGCACGGGCTCCCGATCCTACTACCTGTGATTTAGATTTTGTGGCTCCCACAGCCGCTCTGTGTGACTTAGGATCTAAAAGGACTTGCCTTGTACTTTTTGCAAATGGATTAACATGCCACACATTACTACATGTTATCAGTCAGTACTTTCATTTTCAATAGCCTTATACCTAAAGTGCTCAAGCAAGGGGGAGAGTTTATTAAAGAAAGAAATATGATCACTACCATCAAATCCTATTCATGAAAAAAAACAAAAAAATCCCCCCAAAACTCATCTATCTCCCAGCACCTTCTCTTTTTCTTTTCTATGGTCTTCGTAACATGCACACTGAACACATTTTCACCATCAGTTTTCTTTCTGAAAAAGAACTCCGTGTTCGAAGCATCATGAACAGTCATGTTTGCCTTGGAAAAATTTAGGACATAGTTATCGGCTTCATCTTAGAGATCCTGATTCGGGATACTGACGCGTGTGTCGTAAAATAAATTGCATGCCTGTAATGAAGTCCATGATTTTCCAACATGAATAGAATTCATTTTCAATGAAGACAGGTGCACTGTATAAAAATTAGGCTCTCATTTATGCTACATCACAGTGCATTAATTTTACCATGTTCAAGCAGAACAAATGCAATTGGTCATAGGGTTGCTAAACATACCCACTGCTAAGGCTGAAAGCAGGAAGAAATTTACGCTTTTGAGCAAACCAGTGTTGCGAGGTGAATCAGTTGACAAACTCTATCCCCATCAAAGGAGTCCCTGCATGAAGTTGAAGGGCGACATCCCCAACAATCTGTGATCGAACAAGTAGCAGCAAAATAAACACGCCACAGTCAATTGAAGGATTTTTAATAGCATGGTAACAGCAACATAAGAGAAACAATATAATTTATTGACGATATTAGTTAGACAAAGGCCTTGGGAACACTTGTAATCTTCAAAATGAAGTAGCCAACAAATGTATAGACTATTTGTTCCTGCAAATTATTAAAAACCAAGGTTTTCGTTTTATTTATGTAGTTTTTCTATTCCTGGAAGGGGGCATTAAATTTAGAATCTTTTAACATCTTTTTTTCCCATTAAGTATCTATGGTACTTTCATTTGAAGTCCTGAGTCCACATCAGTATTTTACATTATTCAACCTATGTCACAGCAACACCAGTATCTATACAAATTATACTTCATCTAACCTGACGAAAATCCTACAAAATGTTTGATGGAAGACCTCTTGGTATCCAGAGAGACCAACCTACCAAACCGCTCTGGATCTTTTCTCACCCTCCAACCTCTCCATCCAGGAAACACATCTTCAACCAATCTAGGCATCACTTGAGGCATGGCAAAGCCACTTGCCACACTGATCTTAATTTCTTTACACATGCAACTTTAATTAATCTAAAACTGATACCTCTTCCATAAGTTATCAAGGATAGAAATCTTCCCAGTGGAAATTAAAAGGAGCTTGGGTGCACCACACCATCTTCCAAGGTAACCCAAGGAGACTCTCCTCCCTACGCATCCAATAGAAGGATCTTGCCTTGAAGATTCTCCCTTGAAGTTCTCCCACCTAACAGCATCGTCCCCTGCATCAGCAACAGCCTAAGTATGAAGAATGCCAAAGAAGACCTCTAACTCACCCAACTTGCAATCCTACAAAGGCCTTTGAAAGTGAACAATCCCACAATAACCCTCTCTGAAATCTTCAAGCAGCCTATGACCATGCTTACCTATCCACTGCAATGCAAAAGCCTGATATAAGGGACCGTCTCCATGCCAATGGTCCAGCAAGAATCTGATTCTGCCCATTCACAACCACTCTCCGGATATTGATTCAGGAACTCTCCCACTCACCTTCTCCATAAGAGTTTCAGAACTCCCTGGAACACCAATCGCGCTTTCACTCCATACTTCCCCACAACAATCACACATTTCTAGGAATGATTACTGCTGAAATATAAAATTTTAATGTATTTCCAATATGTTTTCCCACCTAGAGGGGATGGGGTTGGGTTGAAGCATGAAGAATTTTTTTTCCCCTATTCTAAAAGCATAAAAACAACCTTAACATGCTGTGGAACTTGACTCATAAGAGAAAAGGGCAAAGCTATGTTTACAAAAAACTAAGTAACACTTCCTGTACACTTGCATTGATGTACATGGGAACAGGGTTTGGTTCAGAATTAATCACAGGCCAATTCAAGGCACCTGATTCTTACATAAGGCTATGGCAGTGGGCTCTTAGAGAGCTAAAAGCACATTATGGTACTTTAAGGCTCCTAACACTGTTTCAACTATCATTATATTTCAGGCAATTATCCAGACTTTGGATGTCTAGGAGGTATTATTTGATATAACCTGGTCCACTAGGTGTCTATTAGATAGCAAGCAACACTCTTATTTGCATAATCGACTGAATAATATGAAATTCACAAGGTTGCTATGAGCATATAAGAGCACTGAACCATGAAATAGTTCTCCAAACAGGTTTTACAAGGCCTAAAAACAAAATTTGAAGAAACGATATATAAATTAGTATCCAACTTTCACAGATCTACCAAGTACAAAAATCTTTATTTACCTTTTGGGTGATCTGCATAAATAACAAGTACTAACTTTTTGCAGGCTAGTATTGACAGGGAACACAATGCCTGGGCAAGGATAAGGGAATCAGAATATAGATGATGATCGTAAACATAGTTAATGATGGTTCTTTTTCTTTCTTTTTTTCTGTCACTGGGGGGAGAGGGGTCATTGTGATTCGTCTTAAAGCAAACAATAACAAACATAAACATTCTTCTTCAGGCCATATCACACCACTATTTAAAAAGCATAAAGGTCTGGAAAACAAGAATTGAAAAACTATTGCCAATCTGTATATCATTTCATATAAGTTTTGACTCACAAAGGTTAGAAGATATGAAAGAGAATGGTTGTGGCTTAATAAAATTAATTTAAACCAAGACTAATTTAATTAAAACAACAATTATTTAGTAGATTAGATCAGGTTCATACCTTAGCCATGGATCTATAAGCACATTCTGTAACCCCTGCAACATGGGGTGTGATTAAGACATTTGGGAGCTTCAAAATTGGATCCTCGGGATCAAATGGCTCTGTCCAAGCAACATCAATACCTAAGCCGCCCAAGTGGCCTGATTTAAGGTGATAATGAACAGCCTCATAGTCCAAGAGACCCCCTCGAGCTATATTAACCAAAAGGGCACCCTAAACACAAATGAAAAATAAAACAACAACTAAACAAAGATGTAATACCATTTCTAACAAGAGATTGATTAGTTGATCTCTATTATTTGCATATACTTGTGGATGTCAACAGTAAATAAACAATAACTACCTTAACCTTTGTCTTCGGATGAAATTATTCAATGAAATAAGCTATTACAGTTAAAGTCAATCATCCAATAAATATACCTCTTATATGAGGTACAAAACTTAGATTTTATTGTAATAGTCAATGCTTTCCTCTCTGTTGAACTTTCGATAATTATAATATTGATTTCACTTAGATTTAATTTGTTATCAGTATTCTATTTTTTCTTTCCCCCTAGTTTTATCAGTATTCTATTGATTTGAGACTAATATATTTAAAGCTAACAGGGTAACAACATTCGATCTAGAACTTAAGTAAGTATTATTGAACCTGGAAAAAAAAAATGATTTTGTTTCATTGCCAAAATATTTGAATGAATTGCCACTGGCCATTAGCCCAGCTGGTATAACCTCTCCTCCCTCAAAGGGGAGGTGAGGGGTTCGAACAGTGGGAATTTGTGGGTGCGTGCGAGTATTTACCTAAACAGAAATATCTGAATAAATCATATGTTCGGCATGACTATTTATTTTTATTCACAATGAAAAAATTGCAAGTATAACGGCATATTTGAAATAATTGGCTAACATTCCACATATAGTTGAAAGAAATGTTAGTTTACATCCAATTGACTTCTTTCTCTCTTCTAGTCTGTTGGGTCTCTACAGTGAACTTACTATTAAAATCATTAATAATGGGTTAGGATACATGTCAAACCCTCCACCACCTGAGGTGTCTAAAAAAGAAAAAGAAAGAACTATAAAGTTTGCAGTCCCTCACAAATGTCTAGGTTACATTGAGCAAGATACCTTGACAAGAAATCACCAAATTTTTTTTTTTTTTGGTTGTTGCAGAAATCAAATCATACTGAAAGAGAAGTCTCTCTCTTGTAGAGGGTTCTCTTGCAACGAACCACATGCCTAGGGACATTCAAACAAAGGACCATGAAGAGAAATACCACTGTATTACGGTAATCAATTCACACTGAAAGAGTAGCCAATCTCTCATAGAGTGGGTCGTGTGAATTATGATAATTATATGGGCTCAACATTTCAAACAGGACATTAAGCTTCCAAGACAAGTCATTACTGTATAAAAAACAAACCTGTTTCATTGAAGATATGAATGTCTTGTTTACTATGCCAGCCTAAGAAAGTACCATCCAGAATGTAAGTATATATCAGACAACAAATAGCATTTACTGAAGAAGCATGTACTTGGGAAAGGACAAATAGAGAGGAGAAAATTCTAACCGTTTCGCTATTCATTAACAAGCAACAGACAACTATGTCGGCGTTGCTTGCAAAATTATATATATCTTCGTGACCACCCTTCTCATCGACCAGATCATCATTGATACCGTTTCGAATGGGCAATGCTGAAGATATAGAGTAAGAAATAATAAGACCTTACACTCTTACAAATCTCACTAGTTTTAGTTTATAAGCCCTTTATAGTTTATACCATCGGATTTGCACAAGTTCTCCAAATATGAGACCCAAGTCCGTTTAGTAGCAAGAATTTTCACACCGAATGGACGCAAACGCTCTGCCAAATGGAGACCAATATTTCCAAATCCCATAATGAATACCTGCATGAGTGAGGAGAATTATCAAGTTCTTGTGTAAGTTCATAAGAATATGGATCTTTTGTCCATGACCAAATCTCCCAAAAACTGTCAATTTCTTTTTTTATGATTTTGTTCCATCTTCTTTTTTAACGCTGTATTACTGAGAATGTGTAGCAATCTAGTTGTTAGGAAACATCCATATTGAACATGTAATCTAATATCAGGGAACCCCTTCTCTTGAAAAACCACTTGACCCATAACAGTTCAAAAGATGAATGAAATGCAAGCTAGACATGACCACTACACCTTGCTTTTCGCTGCTTTGTGTCACCAAACTCCCACACAGTAAGAGCAAACAAGCAAAAGCAAGTTTACAATCTGAGGATAAGTTCATAACCATCCCGGTTTGAAAATCTCAGACTCTAGTGCATTACTGATTTAGGCCAAAAATTTTCCAATATCCCATTTAGGAGTTTCCAACTAGAAATTTTGATTTGACAACCTGAGTAAGACATGACTCATGTGAGGGGGAGCAATACTGAATTTTTTGAATAATTTAGGCTGCGCTGGGGGGCGGGGGGGCAATGGTAATATTTCACAAGTATATATATCAAAATGATAAAAATAGGGTATAATAGTAAAAAATAAAAATTTCAAGAGGGGTACAACATGGGTCCGTCCCTGGACGTGGCCACCACACTACTGTTTTTTATTATCACATCACCAAATTCCTATCCTTCGATGTGAAACAACAAAAACCAAACCAACAAACTATCCCCAGACCAATCTGAGAACAAGAATGAATTGTTCAAAGAGAAATTTCTAGATATCTTCGCATATGTGACTTCTGTTTAACACGACCAACCCCAAGCCCAGAGGGGGAAGAGAGAGAGAGAGAGAGAGAGAGAGGGGAAGGTATTGGTAGGTAGACGGCCAACATAGAGTTACAGTCACATCTTATTGGCATGGATTTGAGGAATTTTTTCACATAGAATGTTCCCTATAGTGACATGCTATGCTGGAGCATTGGTGCGGTGACAAGACTGTAAGAATTGGCTGGGGTGTTCCGTCCAAGATGCACTGGATCGGCACCCAGATGAAGTGAGAAATAGGAAAGGATTTCCAGATCCATCAGCAACAGACTGCATTGGCAACCTATTCACTTTGGTAAACAAATACATGTTTCTCCCTTTTGTTTCCTCATTCTTGAGCCAATTTGACCCAACAAAGCGAGGGTGATCTCAGATAAAAATAAATGACAGTGACACAATCTATTCACACCATCCCTACCAAGCAATTAGCTAACTACTGCTTTGACAGTACTAACAATTCAAATATTAATTTAATTTTCAGCTTCAATATATGTGTTGGGGTTGAAATTCGCCGCGGCCTGGTACGACACCGTTTCCTCTAAAACAAAGACGGCTAAGTCAAACACCGGTGTGGTGCCGGCCGTTGACCCTCCGACGATCAAGTTAGTGGGGGTTTCTAGAGAAAGAATTTCTATCGTAATCGTTCTAGTAGGAGTTTTTTGTGTGTGCCTTATTCCCGAGTCGTTTTCATATTTATGGTCACTTCCCTTATCCTTGATGAGGGAATATCATCATTCTTATCCAATGGAAATCTTATCCTTGATAACGAAATGCTATCATTCTTATCCAATAGAAATCTTATCCTTGATAACGAAATATCATCGTTCAAAAGTCGAAGAGGTCTGGCGGCTGGTCAACACTTAGTTGCCTTTATCGTTAGGTCAAGGTAGGTTAGGTTTATTTTTCCCTATCAGTTGTCTCCCATTCCCAAGCTTGCTCGTCTAGTTTTAGGAATGTAAAATTTATTTATTCACCTTTGGGTACTGTTCATGCGTTTTTTTTTTTTTTTGGGTACCCTTGAGCACTCTTCCTTTGGGTACTCTTCCATTGGGTAATGTTCCCTTGGGTACTATTCCCGCGGATAAGTTTTGTTTTATCTTTTTTTTTTTTTTTTGGTACCCTTAGGCACTCTTCCCTTGGGTACTCTTCCCGCGGGTAAGTTTTTTTTTTTTATTATTATTATTTTTTTGGTACCCTTGGGCACTCTTCCCTTGGGTGCTATTTCCGCGGGTAAGTGTATGTGTTTTTTTTTTTGTACCCTTGGGCACTCTTCCCTCAGGTACTGTTCCCTTGGGTACTCTTCCCTTGGATAATGTTCCCTTGGGTACTATTCCCGCAGGTAAATTTTTTTTTTTTTGTACCCTTAGGCACTCTTCTGGGTACTCTTCCCTTGGGTAATGTTCCCTTGGGTACTATTCCCGCAGGTAAGTTTTTTTTTTTTTTTTTTGTTACCCTTGGGCACTCTTCCCTTGGGTAATCTTCCCAATGGTGGAATTAATACAGATACTAAATCAAGGTTCTGTTTTGGAAGGGCATATGTTCAAACCTATGGACAATGACTCTTAGTAACGTAAAACTTTTTCTTTTGAAAATCCAATATACTATTTGTAAGCTTCATTGGTTTCAGTCAGCCAATCTTTTTGGCAAAGGAATAAATTGTACGAGCTTCACTCAGCTTGTTGCTCCTTTAATAAGGGAATTAATTTTTACGAGCTTCACTCAGCTCGTCCTTTTAGTAAAGGAATTAATTTTAACGAGCTTCACTCAGCTCGTCCCTTTAGTAAGGGAATTAGGTTTTATGAGCTTCACTCAGCTCGTTCCTTTAGTAAAGGAGTTTTTTTTTACGAGCTTCACTCAGCTCGTCCCTTTAGTAAGGGAACTGTTTTCACGAGCTTTACTCGCTTAGTCCCTTCAGTAAGGGAGTATTATTCTTTTCTTTTCTTTTCTTTTTGTTAGCCTTCCGTAAAGCATTAATTACCACATAGGTAGGTAACTGAAAGCATAACATTTTATTGCGTAACAAATGAGGGTCATCCATCTCATTGGTGATGGTGACTTTATTGGAAAACAAAATAACACGTAAGAGAGCTACCCTCCATTTAAAATGATTAACTGAGATGCCCCCAATCTTCATTTTGAATGAATTGAGCCTAGTTGGATTCTCCCAGGTCTACTTATTCAGAGATGATATTGATTTCACCAATTGATTGCTCCCCCAGAATGCGCTTACTAGGGTTTGTCCCTTCATTGACAAGGAACTTTTGTAAGTGACCCATTTGAATCAGATTCTCAATCTGATTCTGAAGTTCAAAACAATCATCCATAATGTGCCCATGATCCCGATGGAACCTGCAATACTTATCTCGGGATCTTTTCGCTGGATCAGACTTCATCCTTTATCTGAGTCCTTCTCACGATATGTCCTATCGCTTTGGCTGAAGAATGATCTCTTATATTTAGTATCCTTTTCATTCCTGGAGAGAGGGGCTAACCTCTTCTTGTCCTCTCCTTCCTTTCCCTTCCGTACATTCATGGCGTCTTCAGCGTTCATGTGTTTCTGCGCTCTAATCAACAACTCTGCCATGCTGGTGGGAGGTTCTTTTGATAAGGAGAACAAGAATCTGGAGGTTTGGAGTCCTCCTATGAAAGCGGTCAAAGCCACCTTGTCGTCCACCTCTTCTACTTGCAACATCTTTGTGTTGTATCGGGTGATGTATTCCCGGATCGACTCTCCCTTTTGTTGCTTCACAATAAGCAGGTAGGTGGCCGGCCTCCTATGCCTCTGACCTGCAATGAAGTGGCTCACAAACTGCTTACTCAGTTCTTCGAAGGTGTCGATGGTTCCTGGCTTCAGCTTGTTGAACCAAACTCTTACCGATCCCTTAAGTGTAGTGGGAAAAGCTCAGCACATGATTTCATCCGGCACGGCGTGTAAATGCATAAGAGCTTGAAAGGTCTCCAGATAATCGAGGGGATCTTTGGTCCCATCGAAGCTTTCGAACGAGGCATCCTGAACTTGCTAGGCAGGGGGCATTTCATAACGGCAGGGCTGAACGGCAAGTTGGTCCTCTGCACCAAACCATCTATGGCTGCAATGCCTTTCCCCTTCATGAACTGCATCACATCCTCCATATTCGCCTTGAGATCCTGCATCTCTAGGTCAAAATGGGAAATCTCCTCTGTCTTTTCAATGACAGTTGTGTCTTCATGGGTCGGGAACTCCGTGGAAGAGATGGGTGGACCACCTCTCTATGTCGGTTCCCCACCTGGCTTTGTTCCACTTCAGTCTCATTTCGGGGAGGATGATTATCCCGCTCCTTAAGATTCCCATTGCCTCTGTTTGGGTTTGAGAGGTCTTGTCGTGGCAAGTTCTGTTGAACCGGTGGAACAAGATGTTGCAGGAGCGCTGCATTTTGCTGGATCAACTGGTCCATACCCTGATTCAGAATTTGGACCTGTAGTTCCAACGCTGCAAGCCGTTCCTGGTCGTTTGGAACGTCTAGGTTTTCACCCGACTCTTCCCCTTGACCAGATCCCTGCAACGATGTTCCCTCGGTAACCATACCGGACCACAAACGCATACACCCAACTAAACAATATTTAAGGAAATCGTAGTTCCCACAGACGGCGCCAACTGTTGGGGTTGAAATTCGCCGCGGCCTGATACGACACCATTTCATCCAAAACAAAGACGGCTAAGTCAAACACCGGTGTGGTGCTGGCTGTTGACCCTCCGACGATCAAGTTAGTGGGGGTTTCTAGATAAAGAATTTCTATCGTAATCGTTCTAGTAGGAGTTTTTTATGTGTATCTTATTCCCGAGTCGTCTTCATATTTATGGTCACTTCCCTCATCCTTGATAAGGGAATATCATTATTCTTATCCAATGGAAATCTTATCCTTGATAACAAAATGTCATCATTCTTATCCAATGGAAATCTTATCCTTGATAACGAAATATCATCGTTCGAAAGTCGAATAGGTCTGGCGGCTGGTCAACACTTATCGTTAGGTCAAGGTAGGTTAGGTTTATTTTTCCCTATCAATATGCAATGGCATTTTATAACAAGTCCCACGAAATTTTCATTGTGCAAATTATTCTAGGATAGGAAACAAAAAAGAAAAAGAAAAATAAAAATTATACATGCAAGAATGTATTCGTAGGAGAAATTGTAGCAAAAAATTATGGCTCACTGTTTTTCCAAGCAGCGTTTCACCAATTGGTTCTCCAAGCTTTCTCTGCTTTACAGCAATGTTCATCTCATTCTGTCATTAAATATAAGTGATAGAGAAAATTAATACACAATAAAATAAGTTAGACCAGATAAATGTGTACAACAAGGCATAAATAGTGAAAGTATGGCTTCAGAGAATAGATTGTTGTTCAGATAGCGCTCAAAATACCAAACATCAAGTTTATAAAAAAGAGTTTCACCCAAAGAGAGAGAAAGAGAGAGAGAGAGAGTACTACAGAAGCAGTATCCCAATTTAAAAGGCCCAAATTTTTTAAATTCAGTATGAGAAAGTAAGGTAGTGTTTGGAGGAGCTTCCTAATGCAAAAAGTCCTTTCACTATAAAGGCCTTATAAGAATGACTTCATTAGAAGGGATTTCAGAAAGGAAAAAAAAATAGGGCTTTGGTGAACGTCAATTTTGAGAAGTCCTTTTTTCTGAAGAAGTCATTTTACTCACATGCTATGAGTTTGGTGATAAAATGACCAAAATTCATTTGCTACTTAATAACTTCAAGTTTACAATAATAAATTTACATAACATGTTTCCCTGCATTACTTTTGATACATATATCATATCAGTACTAGTTGGTTAATTAAAAAAGAACAGAAATAATATTTATATTTTTTTTTAAAGTAAAAATATAAATATTATTTGAAGAAGAAAATAAATTCTCAATTATATAATGTGAACGTGCCAAACTGTATCAAGATTGTAACTACTAAATTGAAATAAACAATATTGACTAAAGAAAAATGTAAGTGATTTTTTTTTAATCAATTTGAAGACAAAAAAAAGACTAGGAATGACGTACATACTTGACTACCATATTGAATTAGCGATCCCATTGCGCATAATGCTCATTTCCCCATGATGTTGTTAGTCCACTATTCTAATAGAATTCAATATAGTTGTATGCATGTCCATATCGTCATTGTCGCTGACATGACCAACCTCGTCAAAATTCAGCATTAGCTATTGCTTCTTGTTGTATATAAATGTGTAATACCATTGACACAACTACAATTAATCTTTGTGTTTCGAGTGGAAAAGGAACCATATGTTGTAAAATTAGCCACCGAGTAAGGCGTAAACCATCCACCAAGTGCAACAAATGACTGTCGTCATTCTTTTTATAAGAACAATTTTCAGGCAAACATGTAAAAGTCTCATCCCCTTGGTACTTCTGTCTTTTTTTCTTTCCCAACAAATCTATGCATTCTTTGGTTGTGCAACTCATGATATCATGATTAGAAGCTGTTGCCCTTGACTTAACATCATTACATATTTTCGATGCTTCACCTAAAGTCCCTTGATCTCCAACGATGTGTCCCTAACCATCATTATCTTGATTACAATCATTTTCACTACATTCCATTATGCAATTAGTATCTTCACCCATTTCCCGAAAGTGCTTTATTCGGTATGCAGTGTATCTTAATCACTTCGACAGGGTCCAATACTATCTTGTGGGAAAGTTCCTAGTAAAGGTGTCCAAGCCAAATTACCATTTGTTATCCCATCTTTGAATAAAGTTGTCAACAAATCAGAATGTAAAATCCTTTTTCCCGAAACTTTTCTGCATTTGGATTAGTTTTGTTTGCAAAAAAAAAATTCCTTATATATAATTATAAAATTGTGCAATATAAAACATAATTTTTTTGTAAATCTGCTAGTAATTGGCTCACCAACCATTTCTAGTCGTGACTGTATTTCCCGTCCCGTCTCATCCTTTTCCAGCTTATACCATAAGTTCCATTCACTTCTTTGCACTATCCCAATGCTTTTTGTACTATTATTATTATTATTATTATTATTATTATTATTATTTCATATTTCTTCTAAGTTCTCTTAAGAAAGTCATCAATCACATTATTTAAATCTTCCTTAGTAAGCACGGTCCCTTTCTTAACATTTGTAGATTAAAAGGGAATAAGAAATGGATCGTGCTTACTAAGGAAGGATGGAATAATGTAATTGAGAACATTCAAAAGAAAACTGGGAAGAAATGGAAAAGAAATAGATGAAAAATCATTGGTATGGTACAAAGAGTGAATGGAAGATGTGGTATAAGATGAATTAGGAGTTGACAGGTTTGGGTGGGATTACGACAAAAATACAGTCATGGCTAGTGATGACTGGGGGGACAATTACTTTATAGTCATGTCAGTGAAGATTGGCAAGACAATTTCTTGCAGGTATATAACAATTTTTTATGTTTATTATATGCATTTGCATGTACAATTTTATGACTAAATATAATGAAAAAAATTTATTTAGCAAATAAATCTACCCAAATGCAACAAGTTTCGCGAAAAAGGGATTGAACATTGGGATTGAACATTCAAATCAATTAACTCCTTTATCCAAAGATAGGATAACAACTGGTAATTTGGCTTAGACACCATCACAAGAAAATTTTACCACAAGATAGTGTTGGACCATGCCAAACTGATCAAGATACACTGCATATTGCATACTAAAAATAAAAAACTCAAAAATTGGATGAAGATACTAAATTACATAATGAGAAAGAACAAAGGGAAAATGAGTGTAATCAAGATAATGAAGATGTTATGGATAATAATGGTACACATCGTAGACAATCAAGGGATTTTATTCCACCGCATGAGAAGCACTTTTTGACAAGAAATATGAAAAACATGCTTGAGAGAATATGTAGTGCAATTGAGTCAACCGCAACAACTTCTAATTGTAGTGACTCGAGTTGTACAATAAAAAAATGCATAGATTTGTTGAACCAAATGACAAAAGTATCAAGGGGACGAGATCTTTACATGTTTGCTTGCAAATTGTTCTTACAAAAATAACACAAAGAGTTATTTGTTGCACTTAGAAATCATGATTTATGCCTTACTTAGTGGCCAATTTTAAACGTATGGCTCATTTCACATTAAAAACACAAAAATTAATTGTAATTGCATCAATGACATTACACAATTATATACAGCTAGAAGCAATAGTAGATGCCAAATTTGACGATTTGATGGTGACGAAGCTTATGTCACTAAAAATGACGGTAAGGCCACGCATACCACTATATAGGGATTCTGTTGTGTTGTAAAGCATAAAACGGAAGCGAATAGATAAATAAAACAAGTAGAACACACTAATCTTACGTGGTTCAGCCACAAGGGCTTACATCCACGACACAAAGAGCCCAAAAGACTACATTTTTTATAATACTCTCTCAATTCATATACAATACAATAGTGGAGGCTCTTTTATATAGGAGAATAAATTATCTTAGAAAATAGGAAACAAGGAGGATTTTTCTCCACTGATTCCTCTAGTAACACCAAATCTTCAATAATAATAGGAAACAACATCAATTACTGAAATATTTTTCTCCATCGATTCCTCCATTAAATCGTCAATACTCCCCCTCAAGTTGGAGCATGAATACCTAACTTGCCATTGAGATGACGAGTAACAACAAGTGTGAATGATGAAGAGAAAAGACGAAGAACAATGCTACCGAACAAACCGACAGCCCAAACAAGTCAACAAAATCTACCGGAGATAAGGCAAAGGCGAGAACAATGCTACCGAACACACCAGCAGTCCAAACAAGTCGATAAAAATTGTCGGAGACATGGTAAAGACGAAGGCAATGCTACCGAACACACCGATAGTCCAAAAAGTCAATAAAAACAGCCGGAGACACCGCAAAGGCGAAGAACATTATTGCCGAACAAACCGGCAGCCCAAACAAGTCAAAAATATCACCCAGAAAACCTTAGCAACATTTCAGATGCTATGGGAATACCCCAAAATAGGGGTCCGAACCTAGGAAGAGAATTACGCTCTGATACCATGTTGTAAAGCATAAAACGGAAGCGAATAGATAAATAAAACAAGTAGAACACACTAATCTTACGTGGTTCAGCCATTAGGGCTTACATCCACAACACAAAGAGCCCAAAGGGCTACATCTTTTATAATACTCTCTCAATTCATATACAATACAACAGTGGAGGCTCTTTTATATAGGAGAATAAATTTTGAGAATGGAAAGAATTAGAAAATAGGAAACAAGGAGGATTTTTCTCCACTGATCCTCTAGCAACACCAAATCTTCAATATGCTAGAATAATGGACAAACAACATCATGGAGAAATGAGCAGCACGTGTTAGGATTGTTAATTCAATATGGCAGTTAACTAGATAAATTGTTCCTCAAGTCTTTTTACGTCTTCAAATTGTTTCGAAAATTTTATTTGTTCTTTTTATGTTTTCAAGTATTTGTTTATTTTGAATTAGTAGTTACAATCTTGATACAATTTGGCATGTTCACATCATATCATTGTGATATTTAAATTTTTAATATTTTAAATTTCAAAATATAAATATTATTTATTATTTATATATATATATGTTTTTTAGATGAGAAAACTGGTGCTAATATGATTTAATATATGTATCAAATGTAATGTATGTAAACATTGAATGAATGAATGTAAGGGTATTATTGTAAACTAGCAGTTACTTTAGTAGCAAAAGGATTATGGTTGTTTTGTCACCAAATGCATAGCATGTGAATACAATAACTTTTTTCAGATAAAAGGACCTCTCAAAAGTGGTGTACATCAAATGCCTATTCTCAATTCCTTCCAACGAAGCAATTCTTGTAAGACTTTATTATGAAAGGACTTTAAGCATTACAAAGCTCCTCCAAACGCTATCCAGTAATCCTAGGGTTGAACGAGACGTGGCAGACAAATAGAGGTATTTTGAGCATCAAAGTCCATGAATAAAACTAACCCTTTAATAAACGTACACCTTATGAAAAAAACTCAGAAAGATTCAGAGAAAAAAAAAACACTCAGAAAGACTTCAGGGGGAAAAGGCAAAGATAACATCTGTGGATCATTGCAAAACCCACTTAAAAACAATAACTCACTTCAGGTCAATTTCAGACACTGCCTTAGAAAAACTAATTGACTGGCTGTTTAACTACTATATCATCTTCTATAATTGAAGCTACTAATGTCACCTGCTTAGCTATTTCTATGCTGCTAAGTTGAGGTGTTGTAAGTAGTGTTAAAAAGTTATGCAAAGACAGCTGTCTCTGCTTTTGTGAACGGGACTTTTTATGTTCAATGAGGCATCTAATTGATATTTAGAAAATCCAAAGTCATATAATTTTTATAGCTTATCTCTCATGTATGACATAATCGGCTTATTAGTAGAAGTTCACTATACACACTAAAAGAACTTCTATCCAGAAGCTAAATCTTGATTCTAGTTAAGTTGTTGCCAAATCAGTAAAGAAGCTCACTCGTGAATTTTTAAGAAAGACTGTGGAAGATAAAGTGAAAAAATCAGACCACCATATATAGGTTTGTTAAAATTTTAAACTTTGCATCAGGTAAACTTCACCATGTGAATCTCATTTACGAGAAGATAATCTGCAACATGTCATCCAGACGATCGCAAGAAAAATATATGTTGATCAATTCAACCTTATTTTGAATTTGGTTCAGAATACATTACGTACCTATTTTTTTGTAGCATATAGAATTAAGAAAGTTAAATTCAGCATATAGTGTAGGAAAATTGGTAACTTGCAGGGGAATTTAGAATTAGAAATGCAAATTGATTCTACATTTCTAGATCAACATTGACTAACTTGCTTACGGAGAAGGCCCAGCATTAGATATATGGCCATTTCGGCACATGAAGCTGCATTTCCAGAATCACTGCCTGGAATTCTAGCAACCTTGATTCCATGCTTTGTAGCAGCACTGATATCGACACCTTAATGTAAAGATGAATGACAAAGGATCAAAATAAAATATAAAATAAATAAAAGAACATGCACAGAATACAAATGGCACAATGTAGTAGTCAAAAAGCAATTATAAAATCTTTATGTCATAGTAATCAAGCAACAAGGAAAATTGACCTTCTAGCCCAACACCATACTGCATAATAAGCTTCATCTTGTTTGCACGAGAAATAAGATCTGAATTAAGTCGCATATTTTTCACTATACAAATATCATAATTGCCAATAACATCAGGCACAGCATCCAGTGGAACATCATCAACCTACAAAATAGAAGATACAACAACTGCTATGAAGAAGATACAAGAAAATTTCAAACCAATGTGAGGTTCCCTAATTTCCAAATTTTCTAGAAGCACAAGTTTTTAAAGGGGGAAGAAACTCTCTATGAAGAAGAGACATGTGTTGTAATAACTTTACACATTCTCTAATAACATTTTGTATAAGTATTATTCTAAAAATTTTAAGCATCAACAAATATTGAATTAAGCTTATATAGTTATATATGACAATATATCACGTGTACTAAGAAAAAATTTTAAATTTAATTTTTTTTTTGACCAAACAGAAGCTAGCTTGGTTTTAATGAAGCATTAATGTATTTTTCCAAGTTTCATGAAGTTCTACCAGAATACTCAATGCCTCCAATATGACCCCAAAAGTAAATAACTAATTAAAGGCACAAAAGGGGCAGAAACCCATGTAAATACAAGGCATGTGAATCATACATCTGTGAATCTGGACCGAATATATGCCAGCCACTCAAGTAATCTACATTTATCACTAAATTTCCCATTTTTAGAAATATAATATCTCCCACAAAGACAACATGTTAAGACATGAAAACCATGAGAACTTGAGTATTGTATCTAGTTCTCCAATTAAAATATATATATATATATCTTAAATCTTGGTTAGAAGGACCAAATTTTAATTATGCTCCTTCAATAAAGATCATTAGCAAGATTACAATTTAAAATTTGGCAAGGATACTTATCCAATAACTCTTTGAAGTACTGCAACTTATTAACTTTTTTTTCTGAATATATGAGTGTTACTTATTCAGTTTAGAAAAATTAAACCCAAGCAATCCAACTCCATTTAAAACCCCAAAAAGATGCAGCAAAGAGAAATACCTGGATAAATGGATGCTTTCGTAAATATTCTCTTGTATAATTTTGCGAAGCAGGAAAATGAGGTCCACAAAAAAGAATACGGGTGCTGCGCTTGTCATTGTCCTTATCCATTTTATCAACCCTCCCTGTAAAATCTGCACTGAGAAACCTCAGAATTTAAACAAGATCAATTGAAGTGAACTTTTTTAACCAAAGGAAAAGTGTGCTTTGGGGAATGGGGATCTTCATCAATGCTTTTGTGTTATTTCAATAATTTATTCTGAAAAGTCAAAATGGCAACTCGGTATTGATTCTGACCATGTGGAGTGCTAGGACAAAGTGATTGCTCTAAGACTCAAACTCTGTTCTGCAAGCTTGCAAGCCCAAGCTTTTACCATTGCACCAAATAACAATCCCTATATGAAGTTTTAAAAAATATAAATAAAAGGCTAGCCAAACATGGCCTACTAATGAACAAACCGTGAATAATGCTACTTAATGTTGTTTCAACATAAATTTGACTTAGTATCACTATGAAGATATTAACTTCAGTTAACAAGTTTGCCCAAAACAAAAACAAAAATTTTACCCTGCTTTCAAGTAAAAATACTCCATAGTCTCTGAAGAAGACATGACAGTATCCCTTTTTATTCAAAACGAATATTCATAAGATTTTATGTACTATCTTCGAGTCAATTAAAGTTACTGTGACCTGTGTTGTCAGGCTGGATTTGCCCGATGGGACTGCTAATGGCTGCTTCAATTTCCACCATATATGGAAACAGTACCTCAAATTTGGGTATCAAATTATCAATATGCAACTGTGCTTATTGCATGGAGGCATTAAATGATTGCATCAATTCAGAAAAACAGGTCACTCAAATTTCAACAATCTTGTCACTAACCATCCTCACCGAATTATTTATCAATTCATCCCTCTTAATGTCACATGTTTTTCAAAGAATAGCCCCAACAATTTTGCCTACATTCATAAAGTGATCGAACTCATTGAACATAAAATATGATTCTGTAGAGTATAATCCTAACCAATTGCCTATTTTAAATGATAATTTAAATAATATGTACCAAGTGAAAATCCTATAAAACGGGAGCAAATTGAAGAGTAACCAAAATGGGCATAAGCATATATGTTTACACACATTTTAATGAAAAATCTAACAATATGTCCTGTCTATGCTTTGTGCTGGGATCCTAAGATAAAATCCTATAAAAAGGGAGTGAGTGGGCTCCAGAACAAAAGAGCATGAACTCTAACTCTCCAAAATTACTGATACTGAACATACACATCAACTGCATAAACATATATATACATATATATATATACATATATATATATATATGTATATATAAAATATGTCCTGTCTATGCCAAGTGCTGGGGTATTAATAAGTGAAAGGGAGTGAATGGACTTCAAAACAAAAGGGCATGAACTATAATTCTCGAAATCTACTTATGCTGAGAAGACAAGTCAATATCAAAACATACATACATATGGTTTATGTTTGAAATGTGTGTGTATTGTGTGTGTGAAGGGATTGGAGATGGTTTGTTACCTACGGAAAGGGATTGAAGTTGATGCGAAGTGAAAACGGCAGAGATTGAGAGAGTGAGGAGTCGTCTTCTTCAATATGACAAGCGACTGTGCTGGTCTCTCACCTAACAATGCCTTGAGAGCTCTGTTAAGATACATTGCAATTTGCAGAGGAGCTGATGATGAACCACCACTGGAGGAGAGATCACCGTTTATGTATGTGGATCTTCTTTCCGATGATATCTATGCCATGGACCGTGGGTTGATCCAAGCCGTCCATTTACACGTGTTGAATTAAAAGTACCAAGTGGAGAAACGCAACAAATTCTTTGTGTTTTTGTTTTTATTTTTTTATATTTTAGTCTAGTTTTATATAAGCAACATGTCAGTTTGGGCAATCACGCACAATTAACAGAAAATAAAAATTACATTTTAAATATGGAAGTGAAAAAAACAAAAAAGTTTATAACCCATTGGCCTGCTGGTATCTATTTTACCTCCCAATTCTCAAATATTAGTAAGGATTGAAATTTTTAATAAAACAAAATGAATATGTGTGTAATGTGTGTTTTTTACCAAAAACGAAAAAAAAAAAAAAAAAAAAAAAACCTCATGTCAGTCGACCATGGTACCAAAAGGACAAGAAAACAAAAAATGATATATTGTTATTTTTGTAAGTAAAAAATATGACCATCACAAATAGTGACACAAAAATGATAATTTTTAACTTAGAAATCTGTATAATTATTTTAGGGAGCTGTTATTGGCGATAAATAATTGTACCAGGCGCAACACTTTTATTTATTCTAATTAAATGACAAAAATAACCTTCAATTATTCTAATAATTACCAAATTAGATGAAAATAAATAAAATTAAAAAATATTCAGCATCTATTTTTATCGAGAAACGAGGTTATCAAATTTCGGAAAATTTATATTAGAATAATAATAATAATAATAATAATAATAATTTTATTATTTAAGCTATAGAAGAAAGAAAATGACTTTTACATATAGCATAAACACTACGCAATTTACTATTATAACATTTGAAATTTTTATTAGGCTATGTTTGTCTTCTTGTCATCATCTTCGTTGTCAATATTATCTAAATAATTTTGTTTTCATCTCTATTCTTTCTCTGTTATGGGTTCTTTTTAAACTTCTCTATGTATTAATAGCTCTTTTTTATTTCAAGTTGATATGTTGATAATAATTTGTATTTTAATATATTGATAGAGGGCAATCTAAATGCTAATAGAAGAGGAAAGATGTAAAGAGAGAGGAGAGAAAGGAGTACAAGTGAGAAACAACATAGACAGAATAGATGAAGGGTGAATCTTATCAAAGACGAAAGAGAAAGAAAGTTATGTATTAAAACAATTTTGAAGTTATTTATGTCATTTAATTTATAAAAATATATAAGTGAAATGCCTTAGTATAATATTGGAGCGCACCTATTAGCTCTCTTATTTTAAATTGATCTAAAAACATGAAGGTCCTTCCACGTTGACAGAAAAGGATTTAATATTTCATTCATTTTGACCATCAATATGAACAACACTTAAACCAATACCATCTTCCACACACACGTCTTCACGCCTATCCACTCCATGATGCTCCTCAAATATTTCTACAAAATCTATTTTACCTTGAATTAAATAAATCACCATTCATAGGGTTCCATTTATAGGTCAGATGCCCTTTAAAGATTTTTTAAACCATTGGTTTTTCTTTTTCATTCATTTATAATAATTAATTGTTCAAACCAGCACTTGAATGCTACATTTATAAGCATTAACAATTTATAGTTCTTTTTTATGCGTCATGAACAGTCATTTTTGCCTTGAAAGTTGAAACATCTCAGGACACATAGTTAGCAGCATCATAGTCTTGGAAATCTTGATTCAGGGAACTGACATCGTGTCGTAAAATAAATTTTATTCCAATAATGAAGTCCATAATTTTCCAACATGACCTCTTCAATGAACACAGGAACACTGTAATAAATAAAAATTAGGCTCTCATTTATGCTACATCACAGTGAATTCATTGTACCATGTTCAATCAGAACAAATGCATTTGGTCATATATTTGCTGCTGAACATGCCCACTGGTAAGGCTGCAAACCAGTGTCGCGAGCTGAATCAGTTGACAAACTCTATCCCTGTCAAGGGAGCCCCTGCATGAAGTTGAAGGGCGACATCCCCAACAACCTGTGATCGAAAATAAACAGGCCACAATCAATTGAAGGATTTTTAGTAGCATGGTAACAGCAACATAAGAGAAACAATATAATTTATTGGCGATGTTAATTTAGGCAAAGGCATTGGGGAAACTTTGTAATCTTCAAAATCAAGTAGCCAACAAATGTATAGACAATTTGTGCCTGCAAATTGTTTATAACCAAGGTTTTCTATTTTATTTATGTAGTTTTTCTTTTCCTGGTACTTTCATTTGAAGTCCCGAGTCCACGGCAACCAGAGTTCAAGAAGTATTTTACATTATTTGATCAGCCTATGTCACAGCAACACCTTAATTCTAGAAACTAAATGGTTCAAGCATAAAAAAAAAATTAAAAAAAAAATAGTCCACGCATCTCAAACTTGAACCATTTGATCAAATAATCTTTAGCCCAGTTAAGAAAAAAAATCTGTTCAAACCATTTCATTCAGCCAACGTTACACCAACTAAACAACACTATGAGAAAAATTGGTTCAACCATCAACAAGAATCCATCCATCTCAAACTTGTACCATTTAAAATATACGTAGATATCTTTCGAAAACCACTTAAAGGTCTGCAAAACAAGAATGCAAAAACCATTGCCAATCTGCATATAATTTCATACAAGTTTTGACTCACAAAGGTCACAAGGTATGAAAGGGAATGGTTATGGCTTAATAAAACTAATTTAATTACAACTACAATAATCTAGTAGATTAGACCAGGTTCATACCTTAGCCATGGATCTAAAACTATATTCTGTAACCCCTGCAACATGGGGTGTGATTAAGACATTTGGGAGCTTCAAAATTGGATCCTCGGGATCAAATGGCTCTGTCCAAGCAACATCAATGCCTAAGCCACCCAAGTGACCTGATTTAAGATGATAATGAACAGCCTCGTAGTCCAAGAGACCCCCTCGAGCTATATTAACCAAAAGGGCACCCTAAAACACAAATGAAAAATAAAACATCAAATAAACAAAGAAATAACGCCATCATTAACAAGAGATTCATTAGTTGATCTCTATTATTAGCATATACCTGTGGATGTCAACATTAAACAATAACTAACAGAAGATGTTGTCTTCGGATGACATTAATTGTTCAATGAAATAAGCCATTACAGTAGTTCAATCATCTTATAAATATTATACTTGGCAGCTCCCTCTCTCTCTCAAACACACGCACACACATTATACTTGGCAACTCTCTCTCTCTCTCTCTCTCTCTCTCACACACACACACACACACACAACATTTGGGATTGAAGTTCCTCTTTTCCTTTTCAGCTGTATACCATTTGTTTTCACAGTGGCCCATACCCAAATTTCTTGTTTCTACACCCGTTCCTCTTATATTAAGTACAGAACTTTGATTTTTTGTTAGAGCCAGTGCTTTCCTCTATGATACTCCACCGGAATCTTTAAAAATGGTTTTAAAATAGTTATAATTGAAAAAGTTTCCCACTTTGACACATTATTTGAATCCAATTTTACAGTAAGGGCTGCATTTGATCACCACAGATAGATATATTTCTGTTTCATTTCGAATTGAATCATCAATGATTTCAAGCGCGGATAGATAGATCAAACAAAAAATCCAATTTCCTTTTTTTTTTTTAGATGGATAAAAAAGACTTATGTAAGGGAAGATTTAAGTCCTTATTCTTTCTTCTGAGTGATAAAATCAGAATCGAACGAATAGGGGGTTTCATATCTATCAGATAAACTTTCAAATATTAGAATATTGATTTAGCTTAAATTTAATTTGTTATTAGTGTTCTTTTTATATGTGAGACTAATAGATTTAAAGCTAACAGGTTTCACAACATTAGATCAAGAACTCAAGTAAACGTTCTCGAACCTAGAGAATAAATTATTCTGTTTCATTGCCAAAATATTTGAATAAATTATATGTTCAACATGGCAAGTAAAAATAAAAAAAATTAAAAAAAATTTGCTCTTGCAAGTATAAGGGCGTAGGAACTCCAAAGGGGTTGGCCCAAGTGGGTAAGTTACTTGGCCCTATGCCTCGAAAATCATCAGGCCTAAGATTGGAGTATCAACTAGGGAAAAAAAGTATAAGGGCATATTTGAATAGTTTGATAACATTCCATAAATATTAATTAAAAGGAATATGAGTTTACATCAAATGGGCATCTTTCTCTCTTTTAGTCCGTTGACCTCTATGGTGGACTTACTATTAGAATAATGGGTTAGGATCCATGTCAAACCCTCCACCGCCTGATCGAGGTGGCTAAGAAAGAAAAAATTAAAAAGGAAATATAAAGTTTGACTCCCTCACACGTGTCTAGGAACATTGAGCAAGAAACATTAACAAGAAATCACCAATTTTATATTATTTTATTTTATTATATATATATATATATATATATATATATATATATATATATATTTGCAGAAATCAAATCATACTGAAAGAGTAGTCTCTCTCTTATATAGTGAGTCCAATGAACCACATGCCTAAGGAACATTCAAGCAAAGGACCTTGAAAAGAAATACCACTGTATTAGGGTAATTAATTTATACTAAAAGAGTAGCTTATCTATCAGAGTGGGTTATGAGAATTATATGGGTTCAACATTTCAAACAGGACGTTAAGCTTCCAAGAAAATCATTATTGTATAAGAAACAAACCTGTTTCATTGAAGATATGAACCTCTTGTTTACTATGCCAGCCTAAGAAAGTACCATCCAGAATTTAAGTATATATCAGACAACAAATATCATTCACTGAAGAAACACATATTTGGGAAAGAACAAATAGAAAGGAGAAAATTCTAACCGTTTCGCTATTCATTGACAAGCAACAGACAACTAGATCGGCCTTGTTTGCAAAATTATATACATCTTCATGACGACCCTTCTCATCAACCGGATCATCATTGGTACCATTTTGAATGGGCAATGCTGAAGATATAGAGTAAGATATAAAATAAATTGCTACAAACCTCACTAGTTTTAGTTTATAAAGCCCTTTATAGTTCATACCATCAGATTTGCATGAGTTATCCAACTGCGATGCCCAACTCCGTTTAGTAGCAAGGATTTTCACGCCGAATGGACGCAAACGCTTTGCCAAATGGATACCAATATTTCCAAATCCCATAATGAATACCTGCATAAGTGAGGAGAATTGTCAAGTTCTTGTGTAAGTTCATAAGGAGTATGGATCTTTTCGTACACGACCAAATCCTCCCAAAATTGGCAATTCTTTTCCTAATTGAGAAATGGCAATTTATTTTTTTGTAATTTTGTTCCATCCTCTTTTTTAATGCTGTATGCTGTATTACTGACAGAATCTGAAGCAATCTAGTTGTTATGAAACATCCATAGGGGTTCAAAGAGGCCACTTGACTCACAACAGTTCAAAAGATGAATGAAAGGCAAGCTAGACATGACCAGTACATCTTGCTTTTTGCTACTTCGTGTCACCAAATTCCCATGCTGTAAAGCAAATAAGAAATGGCAAGTTTAAACTCTGAGGATAAGTTCTTAACCATCCCGATCTGAAAATCTTAGAGTGGTGCATTACTGATTTAGGGCCAAAATTTTCCAAGATCATATTTAGGTGTTTCCAACGAGAAAAAGTGACACACCTAAGGCATTATAGCCTAATGGTACTTCACCACCTTCCAAAGTAGAAGGTCAATGGTTCAAGTCCCCAATCGGAAGCCCAAAAAGAAAGAAGAGGAGGGTAGCGGTAGGTAGACAGCCAACATAGAATTACAGTCACGTCTATAGCGACATGCTATGCTGGAGCATGGGCGCAGTGACAAAAGTGTAAAAATTAACCAGGGTGTTCCCTCATAGATGAACTGGATCAGCACCCAAAGGGTTTCCACATCCATCAGCAACAGACTGCATTGACAAGCTATTCACTTTTGTTAGCAAATACATGTTCCTCCCTTTTGTTTCCTCATTCTTGAGCCAATTTGACCCAACAAAACTAACCCTTGTCCAAAATGTCTGGTTTGGGAGTAGAAATTTTTATTTCATCATTCAGGTTATCCAGGGTGATCCCAGATAAAAATATATGACAATGATGCAGTCTATTCACACCATCCCTACCAAGTAGTTAGCTAGCTTATGCTATTTACAGTACTTCCAATTCAAATATTAATTTAATTTTCAGCTTCAATATATACAATGGTATCTTGTAATAAGTCCCAAGAATTTCTTCATCGTGCAAATTATTCTAGGATCAGAAACAAAAAGGAAAATGAAAAAAAAAAAAATACATAAAGTAAAAATTATACATGCAAGAATGCATTCGTAAGAGAAATTGTAGCAAAAAATAAAAGAAAGAAAAATTAAGGCTCACGGTTTTCCCAAGCAGCGTTTCACCGATTGGTTCTCCAAGCTTTCTCTGCTTTACATCAATTTTCATCTCATCCTGTCATTAAAATAACAGTCAGAGGATTAATACACAATAAATAAGTTAGACCAGATAAATGTGTACAACAAGGCTAAGGTTTACGGAGAAGGCAATTTTCATCTCATCCTGGCAACTTGTAGGGGAATTTAGAATTAGAAATGCAAATTGTTTCTACATTTCTAGATTGAGATCCACTAACTTGTTTACGGAGAAGGCCCAACATTAGATATATGGCCATTTCGGCACATGAAGCTGCATTTCCAGAATCACCGCCTGGAATTCTAGCAACCTTGATTCCATGCTTTGTAGCAGCATTGATATCGACAGCTTAATATAAAGATGAATGACAAAGGATCAAAATAAAATATAAAAGAACATGCACAGAATACAAATGGCACAATGTAGTTATCAAAAAGCAATTATAAAATCTTTATGTCGTGGTAATCAAGCAACAAGGAAAATTGACCTTCTAGCCCAACACCATACTGCATAATAAGCTTCATCTTGTTTGCACGAGAAATAAGATCTGAACTAAGTCGCATACTTTTCACTATACAAATATCATAATTACCAATAACATCAGGCACAACATCCAGTGGCACATCATCAACCTACAAAATAGAAGATACAACAACTGCTCGGTAGATGAACAATACCAATGGCAATCCCTTGCACAAAGAAGATTTATTTACAACGATTCTTATCCTATAGAAAATCATTAACAATCTGGAATTAACAGTGATTTATGATAATTTTTTAGTGGATAACCAGGGACTAAAACAGCATGGTAATACATAGTTCAAAGTTTTAGAAGAAGCAATCAAGACTAAAAATTAAGACACAAACACTAATTCAACAGTTGAAAGAAGGGCAGTATATGGAAACATATGGTAAAATTGTGGGAAAATTATTTAGTTCCAAGAAGCTGCTACTTTCTATCAACCAAGTTTCATTTCAGAGAAATTGGCCAAACAAAATAAGTACGTTGTAGTGTGTATCTCAACATAAAAGATAATCAAATAGAGTATATAGAAATTAAGAGTACTTCGTAATCCTTGAGCAAATGAAATGAGGAGATAGGATGCAAATGCAAGGCGTGCGAATCATACAATCTGCAAATCAGAACCCTGTATATGCAAGACACTTAACTAATCTATAGTTATCACCAAATTTCCCATTTTCAAAAATATAATATCTCCCATAAAGACAACATGTTAAACCATGAAAACGATGAAAACTTGAGCATTGTAACTAATTCTCCAATACATATATTAGAAGGACCATATTTTAGTTAAGCTCCTTCAACAAAGAGTGATGCTTATTCAGTATTGGCAAGGATACTTATCCAATAAAACTTTTAAGTACTGCAACCTATTTTTCTGAACATATGAGTGATGCTTTTTCAGTTTAGAAAAAAAATTAAACCAAAGTTATAAAACCCCAAAAAGATGCAGCAAAGAGAAATACCTGGATAAATGGATACTTTTGTAAATATTCTCTCTTATAATTTTGTGAATGTAATACCCCGATAATTTTAAAAGATTTATTAATTAGGATTAATTATTTTATTTTATTTTTCAATGATTTATTTTATTTTATTGAGTGTTAGATTAATTATCTTATTTTAATTAAGTTATATTTCGTGATTATGTATGATGATTGATTGTTTGTGTGGTTGATTATTGATTGAATTATTGGTATGTTGATTTTATTGATATTATATGACTTAGTTGTAAATTCTTGTTTGTTTATGTGCTTCATGTAATTAGTTATTTTAATTTCTGTATTTAATTAATTATCTTATTTATTTAAATTAATTGGATTGGGCTTAAGGAAAGTTGGACCAAAAGATGTGGTCTTGGGCTTCTATGAAACCTTATTAGGTTAATTAATGAAGGTCCGTGGTTATTTAATTATTTAAATGATCACTTTTGTATCAATTATATATATATATATATATATATATATATAATTATATATAAATATAATTAATTAATAATTGTTATGGAAAGATATATATATAGATATATATTTATTGATATTTATAAGTATATATGATTTAATTAACTAATGAGTTAATTATGGAAGGAATATATATTTATATATATATATATGTTTATAGATATAAATTATTTAAAGATTATTATTTTAATTCATAATACTAGTTGGAATAGGATTTGGAATTTAAGGTGTATAAAAATACACATAAGGCTTTAGGGTTAAAGGTTTTACACGTTAGAAAAATAAAACAGACACAGAGAGAGGAAGAAGAAGGGCTGACAAGGAGGAGGTCGGATCTGAAAAGGAGGACGTCGGAATTGGAAGAGATAATTAAAGCTTAAAGCGTCGGTTTCGTTTCGAAACCTTCAGGCGAGTTTTCTCTATTTTTCCTCTTAGAACCTATAAGGATTTCATCTTAAGTATTAAGGCTCTAATTAAATTATTAATTTGGATTAATTAAAAGCATCAAGTTAATTTATTTTATTAAATTGTGTTTAGATATGATTATTTAAAAGTATGAATTATTATATAGTTTTAATTTTGGATTATTGGATTTTATTTGTATATGTAGATGTTGGATATATATATTAAAATCAATGTATAGGTGGAACTGTGACCTAAGGGGATTAATTTTGGTTTTTATATTTTCTGGAATTTTTCTGTACTTTTCAGAATATTTTTAGAATTTGTTTTGTAATTTTTTTATATTCTGGAATTTATTTTAGAATTATTTTTATTAAATTTTAAATTAATTCTATGCACTCTGTGTGAATCGGCGCATAAATCAGGAGATGGGTGATTCAAGGTATGATCTAGTGTGGTAGAATGCATAGTAAAAGGTTACATCACTGATCTAGGCCATTGGAATAGTTTAAATATAAGTAGAATGATTCGGTGCATTACGGTGTACATAAAAGAGTGCGCATGTGAATCTGGACCATGGATTAAGTTTGGTCAACAGAAGATTGATCTGGTGTGGGTGCATACATGTGAGCTCAAGTGAGCTAATCTGGTGTGGGTGCGTTTGTGTGAGCTCAAGTGAGCTAATTAAGTGTGGGCGCGCTCACAGTAGTGTTTGAGCTTAGCCAATTATTTTGTCTGTTTGTGACATAAAATTAAAACGGTTATAACTTAGTCATCTTAAATCGAAATTGGGTCATTCTTGAGCTCAAATTCAAGGATTTTTCGTCCTCTTTCCAATGGTACCAATTTCATTATCAGATTCTTATCCTAATAAGAGATATTTACGTTTTAGTGAGACGGTGTCGGAAAACTATTTAAACCGGTATGGAGTATTTAAAGGAAACTATTTCTGACATATTTAGTTGCACTAATTTGGGTAAATATAATAAATTAATAATTTGTTATGGAAGGAAGTGTATATATATATATATATATATATATATAATTATTTATATATGTGTATATATAGTTTAATTTGTCTATGAGTTGTATGGAAGGATAAATATATATATATATATATATATATATATATATATATATATATATGTATATATGTATGTATATTGATTTTAAATAATCAAGGATTATTAAAGAAGGTGTTAAACACATATATACATTAAATAACATATGTGTAGGTATATATATATATAAATCATTTAAGATGATTAATATTATCATTCTTATTTGGCATATCTTAATAGGCTGGTTGTTAAATTAATGATATGCGTATAATATGCATGTGATGGCTATGTATGATTTAGCGTATTGTTAATTTTAAAGTTAATTCATGGTTAAAGTGTGGGCATGGATGAATTGTCAAATGATTAAATATATTACCTAAATATTTGTATGAATAGAATACATATACGGAAAGTATGGATGAATTGCTAATTAAATGTATGAATAAATATACCTGTGGAGGCATGGTTGAATTGCCAATGTATAAATATACATACACGGAGGCATGGTTGAATTGCCAATGTATAAATAAATATACTTATGGAGGCATGGTTGAATTGCCAATATATAAATAAAAATATTTACAATGGCATGGTTGATTTGCCAAAGCCTAATTACGTTGTTATGTGTTAGATGATTAAAATATCATCTATGGTTGTTGTATGTATGGATTGGATTAGGGTTAGATATTCTTAAATGAGAATAGTTTAGTACTTACTGGTTGGTGTATTATTTTACATTAATAAAATAATATTGGGGAAGACGTGGATGATTTGTCAAAACTTGGATTTTTGATATGTGATTTAAACAATTAAAATCATTATCGGGTTGGGATTAAATAGAGTATTTCTTTTATTATAATTTGTTGTTTAAATGATTAAACAACTGACTAGGATGGGATTAAGGTCAAAGGAGTTTTTATAAAATGAAATGGTAGATTGGTCTAGGTATGAATATTATTTTAATAATTATTTAATAGGTATGGAAATTTAATAAACCTATTAATGGATGTGATTAGTATAGTATATATAATTATATATAGACATGTATATCGTGCTTTATTAAAGTTAAAACTTTATTAGGTTTGGTTTTGATCAGAGATGATCTGCTTATTGGTTTTCAGAGGCCTGGTAGAGTGAACTTGCTCGTAGGGTTTAACCCACGATTTATTTTTCAGGTTATTAGAGGTTCCAGTCTCGAGGTTGAGGATCCGCAGCTGGGAGACTGTCATTCGTCTATTCATCTTGTGTACTTTTAAATAGTATTGGATTATTGGATAATGTTTTAAGGGGTCCCTGAGTTATGGGATTTTCGAATTGTAATTGTTGGAGAATCATTAAGTAATATTTATTTATTAGTTTTCTTCAGCGGTTTATTTATTCTTTATTATTCATCTTTGTATTCTGTGCTTGTTAAATACTTAAATTGTTTTGATATCCCTTGATTTTGTGCGCGAACTTGATCAATCCGTGTTCCAAAATTAGGGGGTGTTACAGTGAAGCAGGGAAATGAGGTCCACAAAAAAGAAGACAGGTGCTGCGCTTGTCGTTGCCCTCATTTATTTTATCAACTCTCCCCATGAAATCTGCATTGAGAAACCTCGGAATTTAAACAGGACCAATTAAAGTGACTTTTTTAACCAGGGAAAAAGTATGCTTTGCGGATCTTCATCAATCCTTATCTGCCCTATCTTGCCTATGTGTAGTGCTAGGACAAAGTGACTGCTCTAAGACTCGAACTCGGTTCTGCAAGCTTGTAAACCCAAGCTTTTATTATTGCACCAAATAATGGTCGCCATAAGAAGTCAAAAAAAAAGGGGGGAAAAAAAGGCTAGCCAAAGATGGTTTGCTGATGAACAAACTAGGTGTAATGCAATGCTACTTAATGTTGTTTCGACAAACATTAGACTTAGTATTGCACTAAAGATATCAAAGTTAGACCAAAACAGTACAAAAAATTTTACCCTTTTTTCAAGTAAAAATGCTCCATACTCTCAGAATAAGACATGACTGTTTTCCTTTTTATTCCAAATGGTTTTTTAAAAGCTTTTATGTACTATCTTCGAGTCAATTAAAGTTAGTGTGACTGTGACCTATTTTGTAGAGGCTGGATTTGCCTGATGGATGACTGCTGATGGCTGCTTAAATTTCCAGTATACCTCAAAACATATGTATCAATATGCAACTGTGCTTATTGCATAGAGGCACTAAATGGTCACACATCCATTCAGAAAAAAGGTCACCCAAATTTCAGCAATCTCTTGTAACTAAACAACATACTGTTTTCCGGTTGGAGATAACTTGGCTGAACTCAATTCTACAGAAGATGACTTTATCCCCTTAAAACTGTTGCCAAATGCATTCTATTTATTCACCTATCCTAAGCTGCCCAAGCAAGCCAGTTTACCATCCTCACCGAATTCTTTATCAGTTCATTCATCTTAATCTCACATGTTTTTCAAAAACTAGCCCCAACAAATTTTCCAACATTCATAAAGTGGTTGAACTCTTTAAAGATAAAATATGATTATGTGGAGTGTAATCCTAACCAATTCTATTTTAATTGTAATTCTAACAATATGTCATGTCTATGCAAGGTGATAGGATCCTAAGTGAAAATACTATAAAAGGGGAGTTAAATGGAAGGGTAAACAAATGGACATGAACTCTTAACTCTCCAAATTTACAGACACTGAACAGACACATCAACTGTATAAACATGTGTGTGTGTGTAATGATAACTCTAAGATCTTGAATAGGGATCCTGCAGCCAAAGATAGAATCCCCATAAAAATACCAAGTAAAGCCTTTCCCAATAATCCTCTATCGAAGATCTTTTATGTTCTAGTACTCTATCCTAGATATCAAAACAAAAGGACATGAATTCTTTAACTCTCCAAATCTATTAAGGTTGAACTAAAGATGTCCTTTTTGGGGAGTAGAACTTTTTAAGGGGACATATAATTATTACATTGTCCCCTTTAAAAATTACAAAGTTACCCTTTCAAATTTAAATATACATATATATATAATCAAGTTTGAAATTTTTTAAAATTTTAAGGGTATTTTATGAAAAGATGTGAAATATGTTATTTAAACTTGGTTAGTGGACAAGTATTTTGTGACAACCCAAAATGGAAAGATGAACAACTAAATTGGGATGGAGGGAGTAATTATAACAATAATATGTCCTGTCTATGCCAGGTGCTAGGATCCTAAGTGAGAATCCTAGAAAAAAGGATTGAATGGACTACAAAATAAAAGAACACGACCTATATATCACTCTCCAAATTTACTGATGCTGAACTGAATAGACATATCAACTTTACAAACATATATGATGTATATATAATTGATGATCATTCAAAAAGAATGTCTTGTCTATGCCAGGTGTTGGGATCCTAATGTTATGTATAGGAATATTGAATTGTCTTAGAATTGAAATGGGGGGAAATTCGGTTTAAACTTTGAACTAAATTTTTTTCAGTTCCAAATCTAAGACATGATGCTCTCAAACATAACAAAAGTGAAAATCCTAGAAAAAAGGGGAGTGAATGGACTTCAAAACTAAAGGACATGAACTCTCTAACTCTCCAAATCTACTAATGCTAAAAAAACAAGTCAATGTAAAGACATACATGGTTTATGTTTGAAGTGTGTGTGTGTGAAGGGATTGGAGATGGTTTGTTACCTATTGGAATTAAGTGAATTGTTGCCACAGATTGAGACTTCGAGGAGTGTTCTTCCATCCAACTACTGAACGTGTTGGTCTTTCGCACAGTAACAAACAACCAAAATGCCTTGAGACTTCTTCAGTTAAGATAAATTGCAATTTGGAGAGGATTATAAATGTTTATGGTATATGGATCTTCACCCATACTTCGTACTCACCACTATCTCACAACAATGTACTTGCACATGGCAAAAACCACATATGTTGATTCAAAGTACTAAAAAAATAAATAAATAATTGTTAGGACAGCAAAAGAATTTATACCTAAAGTTACTCTAAAGTTGGAGGAGTACTACACCTTAAATTTTGAAAAAAAAGTTCTAGGCTACTGAGAAACAAAGGTAAAAGAAAAGTAGAGGTAAAGAATGCTGCAGTTACATACATTAATTTTCATTCTTATTCCATTCTTACTTACATTCTATTTCATTTCCATTCCCATTCTCATTGTATTGCATTCCATCCCATTCCCATTCCAATTCTCGTTCGCATTCGTATTCGCATTCCCATTCTCATTCTCATTCTCATTCCCACTTGCATTCTATTCCATTCCCACTTGCATTTTATTTCCATTCTCATTCCTTTATACCAAACCCAACATTAGGTAAAGTGCAAACCACCCCCCCCCCCCCCCCAAATCTTTATTCTCTCTCCCAAAAAAATCCCTTCACTTTTTGAAAAAAAACCAAGATGACAGTGTTCTTTCATCTGATTATCATGTAAACTAGGTTATAATTTCAAAATGCCGGTAACTTATGGGATAATTAACGAATAAAATACGAAACCCCCAAATTGTTTATCGTTAACCCTAACTTTCATTCACAAATCGCCATCGCCAACTCTGCGGAGGTCTCACTTTGCAACCCACTGCAATGACACACAAAATGATCAGATAGAGTGCGTCAAAACTCCAATGGAAGAAAGAGACCCTCCAACTCCAACTACAGGTACTAATCCATCTTTCAATTACCACAGCAAGACAAGTCAACTATATGATCACCGAGTTTCTGACTCACTAGTATCAATGTCGCGCCGGTCACGTTCATCTTCTTCACCACCACTCGTGTCTTAAGTTGTTTGATAAATCAATCACCGCACTTGTACCATTTGCGCGACAAACAAACAAACCCCAATCTGAACTATTCCTCCACCGTTAAATTTGTAAAATCCCTTTTATTTGTGTTCTTTTCGTTTTCCAAAACCAAGTATGCATTGAAATGGCTTAAAATTCTTTTATTGGAACTAACAAATCAAGGTTATACAAGATCCATGGCCTTTGTTCAACTATATATATATTGCGACGGCGGGCTATGAAAAGTTCCCTCCGTTGACTGGTGGTGAGGGGAGGCGATATTGCGCCGGCAGCGATGAAGATTGACGAGGGAAGGCGATATTGCGCCGGCGGCGTTGAAGATTGCCAAAGAGAGAAATTTTGGAGGCAAGTGAAAAAACAAATTGGCAATTTTGAAAAATCAGGAAAAAAATTCTCAATATTGCGATCGAAGGTGCAGATGAAAGTCCTCATTTTGAATAGTTCAGCACATTTCTTGCACTTTACCCTTTAATGTGAGAGTGGATGGTGAGTCTTATCCCATTGTTAGGAAGACGTTTATAAGGGAGTTTACCACTGTATTTATATAAATTAAATTTAAAAAAAAACTATTAAATTCGTTCTATAAATTATTATTCAATTATTAAACGTGAAAATGGAATAAATAAGGTCGACCTTATATTTTGGTTGAGAATACAAAAGGGCTAAAGAGTAAACGCTGTAGTAAATATCCGAAACAGGAAAGAAAAATTATGCAACGGAGAGAGGTATAACTTGTATCGTGTGGAGAAGGAAAGAAAACAAAAATGCATTTTGTTATCCTTTTAAAGTTGAATCATGTTACCTTTGTAAATTTTCTCATTGTTAGATCAGTTATATATAGTAATACATATGATTTCTTATATTTATATAGAATACATATATGTATATATATCATTTTAGCCATTTAATTATTTATTGTGGTCGATTTCTTATATTTATATAGAATACATATATGTATATATATCATTTTAGCCATTTAATTATTTATTGTGGTCTGTTTGGAAATTTTCATTTTGGTGATTGAATTTTATTTTTTTCATAACATTTTTTAAAATTTAGTTTGTGGATGTTCGATTTTCATTAATGGAATTGTACTTCTGTCAAGGAAAGAAACAACAATAATAATAATAACAACCAATTGGGCTTAATATTAGATCTAAGCTTGTAATTGGACTAAACTATAAAAAAAATAAAATTGAATCGAATCAAACCGTTTCTTCAGAGTTCTGTTGCATGGATTCTTAAACCTGATTTTGTTCCATTTTTCTTTTCTTTTTTTAAACGGTTAAAATCTATTAGTTCCAAAATACTTTTAAATCCGTTCAACCCGAATCGCGCGTAGTCCTAACATGGTGTCACATGTGCTTATATAATTTTTCCTTCATTTTGAGTGTAGAAAAAATAATGGTATTTTAATTTGGTCCCATGTTTGAGGCATTTGATATCGTTTTCAAATAATTCATAGCATATGAGAATTTTTTGCCAAAACTCATGTCACCAAATTGGTGGTATTGTGTGTTTTGATACAGGAGGAAATAAAACAAAATTTTGAATTTTTCAAATCAAATTTTCGTTATCAAACATGATTATGATTTATACCCAAAGCACTTTTACAACAAAACGATTGTTTTGGTATTGACCCAAAATATAAACGCATGTCAAACGGACTCTAATATTTGTATTTTTTTTATTTTTGAATAAAATACACAACTTACTAATACGCTCCTTCATAGACTCGAACTCTCACCGTATGCTAGAGCCTAGAGGAGAAATCGCTAGGACCAAAAGTGGGCTTGGGCTGGGTGACAACTGACTAGGTCCGCTCTACCGACCGTTCCACCGAGATATCACTGGGTCCAAAAGTGGGATTGGGCTGGGTGACAACTGACTAGGTCCGCTCTATCGACAGTTCCACCAATTACCAAAGAGAGACGAGAAAAAGAGAACACTCAACACAGAGTACGCCAGCAAAGTCAGTGTTTGAGAGGGAGAGAGAGAGAGAGAGAGAGAGAGAGAAAGAGGGGTAGTGGACATTGTGGTGGAAGAGTCAGAGTGATCGACCACCGTCGTCGTCCGATATCAACTTCCGGCATCGGCATGGACGTGCTCCAGATTTCTCCGGCCGATCCGCATGGTAGTCCCGGAAAGGAGCAACAAGCGGCCGGAGTGGGCATCCTTCTCCAGATCATGATGCTCGTCCTCTCCTTCGTCCTCGGCCACGTCCTTCGGCGTCACCGTTTCTATTACCTTCCCGAAGCCAGCGCTTCTCTTTTGATCGGTACGTCTCATCGTTATCATCACATCATGTACTCATTTGCCTGTTGACAATTTTGTGCTAGGTTTGATTAATTGACTCGTTGATGGTCCTCATGGATAATTCATGTTCATGATTCTAAATGCCGTTATCAGAATCTGCTTTGACCCTCAATTCTTGCAGGTTTAATTGTGGGTGGTCTTGCTAACATTTCAAATACGGAAACTAGCATCAGGTCCTCACACTATTCATTAATAAACCCTATCCTCCCTCATTTGGTTTTCTTGAAAAGATAATACTACCCTTAATTTTTATATATTTATTCATTTTTCCAGGACGTGGTTTAACTTCCACGAGGAGTTCTTCTTCCTGTTTTTGCTGCCTCCAATCATATTATATCCACACTTTGATTCTTACCATTGATTTTTGTTTGTTTATTTATTTTTTCTGTGGTCTGGACACCTATATTATTGTTATTGCTTTTATTGTTAAATTAGTTGTTCCACAATTGTTTACCTTGACCTTGTTGTGCGTACCCAGTCAGGATTCAGTTTAGCACCTGTAAGTTCTTATTTTTTTCTTTTTATTCTGATTATATACTTTGATGCGTATGTTGCAGTTGGTATGCATTTTATTTATGTCTGATATGGTCTGCCTCATTGTTTCGAAATACAGAAACCATTCTTTTCAAATTTCGGAGGCATAGTCACATTTGCTATTTTAGGGACTTTAATAGCTTCAATTGTTACCGGTGTCCTGGTGTGAGTATCTCATTTATTCAAAATTACCATCCTCTTCTAGATATATTGGAGCTTTGTCAATGCCTCAGGAGTTTTATTCCGTTTTGATGTTGTTGCAGTTACCTTGGTGGTGTTATGTATCTCATGTACAGGCTACCATTTGTTGAATGCCTGATGTTTGGTGCTCTTATATCAGCAACCGATCCTGTCACTGTTCTATCCATATTTCAGGTGAACTGGTGCTTTATATCATTTCGTCATTTCATTTGACAAACAGGACAAGAATAGCAGAACTTTTTGATGACATCTCATGTCTTTTTATACGGAATTCATTCAGGATAACTGATTGCCTTGACCATTATGCATCACAGGTTGATTATTTTATTATTGAAGAGACATTTGCCCTAGACATGCATATCCGTTATTGTAATATTGTTGGGCTAATGTTTTATGATGAAACTAATATTACAATCTGTACCAGCCACTAGTAAAAGAAAGAGTACGGAAAATGGACATCTAAAAACTAGATGGTGGTAGCCTTTATGGTAGAAAGAAATCAGAAATCAGAACTCAGAGAAGCTGAAAGGGCCAAAATTTAGTAAAACTTAGTAGTGGAATGGTGTGGTTCCCAAAGCAGTTAGCTCAAAGAGTTCATCATATAGCTTTGTATGCATGTTGGAAAGACAAAATTTTGAAAGGTACAAGTTAACTGAAAAGGAAACTGAGAAAGCAGCAAGGCAAGCTAAATTGAAGACATATGATGATTTCTATCTTACAAAATCTGGAAATAAGGATTTATACATGTATATTCAGAACTTGTTATTCTAAGGGAAAGAAACTTTAAAGTTCTAAATTTTGGTAAGCTTGAGAGTGTCAGTAATTGAAGACGTGATTAAAGAATAATGGAAGAGTTTTTATTTTTTATTTTTTATTATTTATTTATTTTTTATAGATAATTTTTTTTCACAAATTATTTAATAAAATCATGTAAGGAAATTAGGTTCAGAAGAATTTGGCAACTGTAGCGCTAATATAAGTTGCATTTCTTGGTTATTTGAAAAAGTAGGAGGCAACATAGATAACGATAATAATAGAAATAAGAGATGACGTAGGACTTAATGGAATTCTATGAGGCTTGGGCTTATCAAAAAATAAAAATAAATATAAAAATTCTCTTGAGGCTTGGAACTATTTGGGTGATGATGGAGCAATTTGGTTGACTAATTTGTTTAACATAATTTTAATAAATGGTGGTAAGCAATTCTCCTATTTATTTCAAAAAACAAAGGTGATCTTCGAACAACTGTTATTGGACAATATATAAAAGTAAGAAGTATTGTGGATGCTGCTAAGTAAGATTGAATGAGAGTAATCCTACCTCCCAAAGCAAAGTATATTATTTGCTTACTGTCAACATGCTTAGGAACCTTTTCAATCACTGGGTCCCTGAAAATAATCCAACCCAGGATCAGCCCCAAAGAGAGGCCAATTACTTCAGAGCGTATTTACTGACCTCACACCTTGACGAAGTTATAAAAAGCCTCTAGCTCTCCTTCAATTCCTAGATCTACCTAATTTGTCTTCATACTTAATGATGTTGAAATACCTTGTTGTACCAACTTTAGGAAGGAAGACTGAACGAAATTATAAATATCATCCAAAAGAATTTAGACAAGGATTATTTGGATTATGAACAGGCTTTCCCGCCACTTTTTCAAGTTCTATGAGACAATTTAACTCGGCGAAGAAAAAAGCTCGCATTACCTCTAAATGATAAATAATTTTAGATTCCAAATAATTGAAAACCTTTCTCACACGTCTATTGGTCAAACGCATTTAAGGAAGTTCAATCAATATGCCTAGAAACCCAAATACCTTGATCTTCTTCCTATCATAATTCTCGTCTTTGACCACCACCCTTCCTTCTAGATTGAAGCCATGTGGATTACAGGTGAATAGCCCTATCTTTACAATTAGATATTTATCTACATTGTATCATCACCATCCGCAAGATATTCCCGTTTTCCTCAGAAGAGTATCAAGGCAACCCATCTCACTGCCACTCATGTCGATGGTTGCAAAATGTGGGTATGGTTCTATCACTCTTGCTAGGATCATAGTTCTCAAATCATAATCATATTCCCTATTCAAATTTACATTATCCAACTTCGATATTTTTTGAATATTGTTTAGTTTAACTAATATTTTTTGCTTTCTTCTCTCTACCTGTCTTGAAACCTTGACTTGTGGTTTTGGATTTAAGATCAAAGCCACCAAGACAAAGGTAGACTAGGTAGTGTAAGTAATATTCCAATCTAAAAAAAAGTAAAAATAGTAATAATAAATTCTGCCTGATTTTTAAATGATTATTGTTTACATATAAGGAGAAAAAAAAAATAAAAGATCTCCGTAGAACTAATCTTCATTTAGATGAAAAATTAAGTATCAAATAATATCCTGAAGTCTAATGTTAGAATAAGGTCTGTGGTAGTATAATTATATTATATTTTTTATTTTTATTTCTTTTACATATACTCAATTTGCTCAATGGGTTTTCCCAGAGGAATATTTCTGGACAGCAGCATGCTTCTCTCCCTATCCATGTTGAGAAAGCTATTCCCAAGAGATTACAGTATTAGTGATTCTGTCTTAAAGCTCTATTTCTCTTTTCTTTTTGTGCTTGTCTACTGTTTTTGCTTCTTATTCGTGGTTCACAACCTCCTCCTTGTACACCTACCTCATGAAAATATTTAACACTGTGTCATGGGGATAGATTCATGTCAATTTCTTTGTTACATTGTTATTCCGAGTGCAACCACTTTGTAACGTTTTATTTTAAAGGTTAGGTTTGTACCCAATTCATCTCTCGCAATACTTTTGATTAGCAGGTACCACATTGGGTAGTGGGTTTTTTAATATGATTAGAACCTCAGAAAATGTAATTGGTGTGACTTAGACCTAAAGGCATAGTTCCAAAGCATTCACCAGGACCACTAGATCGAGTCTGCTGTTCTGTTTTCTTATTTTTTTTATGTTCCTTTTTAACTCTTACTTTATTAATTGCTTAGAGAAACCAGTCTAATAATATTTATTTTTTTAGGGAAAAACATGTAAACGATATAAGTCATTACCATTTTTAATCCCGCTAAGTGATGGTGCTAGAAGAGGCGGGTTAAATATAAGTCCAACCTTTCGTATTATTTACACAAAGTGGTCGCCTCACTTCTACACCAAGCAATGCACCACGATTTAATGTTGTGTTTCAAACGTGCTCTTAATCTTAACGCTTTTGCTTTTATTTTTGGTTATTACAAGACCTAATTGAACAGAAAGCATAATGTGACTATTGATGCTGAAAACTGAAAAGTGTTAACATTCTTCACCCTAACATTTTTCAGCATCATCTATCTCACATATAGCTTTTTCCAAATGGGTCTTGTATCAAAAAATTGGAAAACAGAAGCTTCAAGATAGTGCAAGCTAATTATGGAAAAAAAAAAAAAAAAGATTAAGTGCAAGCTTGAAACTTAAAATTAGATCATGGTGTAGGCTAAGGTAAATTTAGACTTTACATGTGCATTGGATTCTAGTGCACTGTTCTCAATTTCATTTTTGTGGGCCTCCTGTTCTTCTAGTCTATGGTCCCATATTTAACAATTTTTCTATCAGATGCATTTTTTTTTTCTATGAAATTTTTTTTCTAGTTTGAATTTGTTTGTATATTGTTACGTTTGAAGATTTGGGGGAGAGAGATACAAATTGTGGAGGAGAGTCATTGTTTGCCAGTGGGTGGGGGTTTGGAAGCTAATTTGGAAGGTTTGGGAAGAGTTCTCCAAACACATTCGATTTAGGGTCAGGAGTGGGAGGCACGTTAGATTTTGGAAGGACCTTTGCTGTGGGGACATTGCTATGGCTCGTAGGTTCCCATTGCTCTTAGGATTGCTACAAACAGGCACACCTTGGTTCCTAAGCTTGATAGCGGGAGGTTGATGACTTGGGATGTGAAGGTTCATAGAGAGTTCCATGATTGGGAGCTTACAGAGGTTGCAAAGTTTCTAGCATTGTTGTACAGTCAGACGGTGGAGGGGGAAGGGGATGGATGAGATGGTTTGGATGGACTCCCCAAAAGGAGTGTTTGGAGTCCGATTATTCTATCAGAGCCTTTTGGAGATTCTGGGCCATGCCTTTCCTTGGAAGGACATTTGGAGATCAAAAGCCCCCCACCCACCCCCCCCTCAAAGTGGCTTTTTCTTCATGGACAATTGCCCTTAGAAGGATTCTCACCTTAGACAATCTCACATTAGTAGGCAAATTGTGGTGAACTGGCGTTGCATGTGGAAGAGGGCGGAGGAGTTGGTGAGTCATCTTCTTTTGCATTGTCCAATGGCAAGGGATGGGTGGGCTTTGTTTTTTGTGAAGTTTGTATGCCATGGGTGGCTCCCAAATCTACGGTAGGCTCGATTGAGGCTTGGAGAGGGTGTATAGTGAAGTGGATAATGGAGTCAGAGATGCTTGGAGGGCCACTTTGTTTATGGTGGGGTTTGTTGTGAGAGAGAAATAGGAGATCCTTTGATGGAGAGGATAATCCTATTTGGTCTCTTAAACACGTCATATTGAGTTCTTTATTCTTTTGGGTAAATGGGCGGAATTGTATATTTATCTAGGATTTGTGGATTTTGTTGATAGTTTGAAATTATAGTTTGCCGTGGTTGGCTTTTTGTGTATTCTCTTTTATGAAATCTTGTCCAAAAAAAGAAAAAAAGAAAAAAAATAGTAAGCTGGAATTCTCTTAATACATGAATATCAAAATTGACTCACCCATTGCTGGTACCCAAGACTAGAAAAAGTGGTGAGTTGGTGTCATGTAGACATTCAACCATAACATTTACAAACTATAACTTGACAGGGCCGCTTGAAGCCTTTAGGTTAGTTTTTCATGTTCACATGAACTTTTTATTTCTTTTTTTCTGCCATCTTGCTTGAGTTATGCATGTTGCGATCTTTACCATTTTGTTTTATTGATTATGGGTTTTCAATTGAACAAATATAACTTGACTGGGCCACTTGACACCTTTACGTTAGTTTTTAATGTTCACATGAACTTTATTTATTCTTTTTTCTGCCAACTTGTATGAAATTGTTGTCTTGCTTGAGTTATGCATATTGCAGGAGACACTAGATGTATCATTTGGCATTTTTGTGAATATTCATCTTCCTTGATCTTAAGTGACATTTACTTGATATGGCATACTGTAGGAACTTGGCACAGACACGAACCTGTATGCCCTGGTCTTTGGGGAATCTGTACTCAATGATGCAGTAAGTTTTTATTGTTTTTGTAAATATTCCTTTTGTTCATGTATGGTATCTTTGCTTGAAGATGGAAAATTATTAATTGTGAAATTATTAATTTGTTTTTTTGGTATGTTGCGAAATTGGAAGATGGCAATTTCCTTGTACAGGTTTGTGAACTTGCACTTGATCATAACAATAAGAATATAATTGGAGATTAGCTTCTAACTAAATTAGTGCTTCGTGTTGTAGGACAATGTCGTTGGTAAGAAGCCATTCATCTGGACAGAATTTCTTCATGCTCATTGTTAGATTTCTTGAGACCTTTGTTGGTTCAATGTCAGCAGGTTAATCTTTATACTCTGTCCTTGCAAAAAAAGATAAATAAATAAAATTGAATGAACCAATTCTATTTTTCTATATGTTACGGATGATTAAAAAAAATAAGAAATTTTGATTTCTTGTTATAAAGGAAATATAAGATTATAGTTCTCAAAGTTCGCGTGTAATGACTTCTTTATTCTATTATTTTCATTGGGTCAAAAACATAATAGAAGAGTTCACATATTAGATCTGTTTAAAACATTTCTTCCAATAGTTGAGATTTTGTGCTTATTCTTCTTACTGGTGCGGCAAATCAATATTTTCTTTTAGTTGGATGTAATTGGGTGACTTGGGTCTTTATCCTGACTAAAAATAAACCTACTTCCCTCCCCCAGAATGAGTTGTGCAAGGGGTAGCTATAGAGTAGAAAAGGAGGACAGTTTGTTTGCTTGACTTCCTCTCTTCGGATATCAATCATATTAATCATATTAGTCTTGTATGCTATCAAATGGCCAATTGCTTCCTTTTAGCCAAGGGAGGGTAGACTTGGGTGTGAGGCTTCCCTACTGAATAAGTGTGAAAAGCTCTCTTCGCATTAAACATGAACCATTCTGGGGCTGGCTTCTAATAAGATGTCTCTAAGCCGTAGACTTTTGACATGTCTATTGTTTCAGAGCAAGGGTGACGTTGTACATTGAGGGAGAACCAAAAGTAGCTCTCAAGAGAGGATGTTACCAAGATCGTTGGGGAGATCTTTCTAGTGTAGCTGAGGGTTGCTATTGGTGTTTATGTCCTCTCCTTTGAGAGTATATTTGTGTTTCATTCATTTGGTTTTAGTTTCTGCCTCTACATCAAAATAGCCGGGTTAAGTTTTTCTCGAGTTAAGATGGGTTAATCTAACCAACTCCATCTGTGAATGTGTTCGTGATTGCTGGCAAAGTCACAGCAAGTAATGGACTCTTAATCACCAAAAGAAGGAAACAAGATCATGTTTTGAAGCCAAGCTTGTATCAGTGGAAACTTGAAAGTATAAAGCACTAGATATTTTTTGTGATAATGGTGAATCGCCCTTTTGGGATCTCCATGTTGTGATTTATTGACACACCTGCTTTGGTGAATGGTTTCATGTGCTGAAGAGAGATTACGACAGTGATTTTTTATTTTTAGTTTTCTGAAAATAGGAGGGAAACAAATTCACATATGAAATTACCTATGTCCTTTTCTCATGTACACAAACACATTGCTATTCCTTGCATGCCATTTCAATTTATGTTGGCTTACCTGAAATTAGCAATGTTCAGAAGCTGAACAGGGTCTTTTTTGATTTTCATCATCATCATCATCATCCTTGCTTTAATTACATATGAATGGTGTCGGCCATTTGAATTCTCTAATCATGATGTTATTTCCTAACAAAGTGTTGATGAATATCTAACACACTGTTGTTGAACATCTAACAGAGAGTTGTTTGATGTTACTTCCTTTAATCATGAAATGCTTCACTGGATCTTGTATGTTTACTACCCTGGTACAAGGTTGATTGTAAACTTAGGCTTTTAGTTAGGGTTTGTAAGGCAATAAAAAGTGTGAGAAATAATAATTTCAAAAAAGAGGCTTCTCTCCTGTTGCAACAATTTATATTAAAATGTTAACGAATGGTTAATAATTATTGACCAAATTACCATTAAGCAAGCATGAGTTCAACCTTCTTAAGCCCAAAGGCATTAAAACCTATATTTACACAATTATGCCTTTTATATAAGTTATTCAGTTTGGCTGATATTTGTTTCTTTTAGTATCTCTATGTTGCCATCTCTATTTTTTTTTTTTCCCTGGGTAAATTATGTTGCCATCTCTTTATATTTCATTTTAGAACATTTTCTTCTCAGGTCACTAAACACGCATTGTTTTTGGCTCTACAGGTGTTGGAGTTGGATTTACTTCTGCTTTAATATCCTTTCAAGTTGATCATTATTCTTTCCACTCAACTTACAGTCTTACACAGTTACACTTAACCAATTAAATTAGCTATTAGAATATTCAGTTAAACCTTAACCTCTAGAACCTTTTTAAGTATGCAGGTTTGGATATTGACAAGTGAGTACTGTACTTATTATTTTTTTTTTTCTTTTCTTTTCTCTATTCATCATTTTGCAATTTGCATCCAATCTGGCAATTATCCTAAACAAAATATTTTCTGAATCTTCTGTCCAGTCTTCAGAACTTGGAGTGCTGTCTTGTTGTCCTTTTTCCATATTTCTCGTAAGCTACTCAAAGGCCATTTTATTTAGTATTTAATTCATTTTAAATTATCTTTATCTCAATGTTTGTTTCAAGTTTAACGTATAAAATGTTCTATCCAGGTACATGCTAGCCGAAGGGCTTGGCCTCTCTGGTATTGTGTCAATACTGTTCACTGGAATTGTAAGTGGATACATATGGGTTTTCTTTATAGTCATCTTTCATCTGTAGAAGCATTGTTATGGATACGTGTGTGATACTCTATTTTAGGTAATGAAGCATTACACATTCTCAAATTTGTCAGAGAATTCTCAGAAATTTGTATCTGCGTTTTTCCATCTGATATCATCATTAGCAGAGACGTTTGTGTAAGTGAGCATTTGGTTGTTCATTTCATCTGATCAAACTTTTCTTTTTCCTTATCTTCTTCCTATTTGTTTGTTATTCTGCAGATTCATATACATGGGCTTTGATATTGCAATGGAACAGCATAGCTGGTCGCACGTTGGATTCATCTTTTTCTCAATTGTATCCTTGAGTCACTAATTACACACAGTTAAATACTGGTATAATTTAGTTGTTTCACTGAAGCCGACTGTTTTGATTTCTTAACTTGCTTTATGTTTGCCCCAGATATTTATTGGAGTTGCAAGGTATGCCTACCCTATCACTATAATGGTTTTAGGACTATTATTTAAACTACCTTATCTTTCCCATTCCATTTTTTAAAACCATTTAATGCATGTAAACAGCATTATTTTTTCCATATTGTGCCTGTGGGTAATATGGCTGTTAAATTATTGCACATGGAATTACTAAATCAATTGTGTAATTGCTCTTTCAAGGGCGGTAAATGTTTTTTCTTGTGCATATTTGGTGAATTTGGTTCGACCTGCACATCGACAAGTACCTTTGAATCATCAGAAAGCACTTTGGTACAGTGGTAAGTATACAAGTAGCTGTTGATTGTTGAGTTGAGTATTTTGCTGTGTTGCTGAATTTAATGAAAAAATATGTATATGTAGGACTTCGAGGGGCTATGGCTTTTGCACTTGCTCTGCAATCAGTTCATGATCTCCCAGAAGGGCACGGTCAGACTATATTTACTGCAACCACTGCAATAGTTGTTCTGACGGTAGGCAACCTGACTCAATTTTTTAAGAATTGAAGCCGCCTTCTTTACAAGATATGCATAGTAAGAATTGAGTTCATAAAATGTACTGTATCCTCGAAGGAATGCATGGTTGTATCTTCCTCTTTTACCTTGCCAGTCAAGGTGGTTGTACAAAAGATCACATTCCGTCAGGCTTTGGTTTATTAGATAGGTAAAGATGTAGTTGGGTCACAAATATGTGCGTGCCGCACTATGATTGCATAATGCGTGCCACACTATGATTGCAAGGATTACGACACATTTTTATGAAGGATTGCAGTTATTGGGACATAACATATTGTGTACGTCATTATCGTGGAACCACAAGATGATATACTGCAATCTTTGGATTGCAACATACTACAGATGGGGATACATTGGAAGCTGTGCCTTGGACTTGGACACGGTATCAAGAGGGTCTGAGGATTTCTAGCATCATCTGACCTAGGGCCATGAGACAATAAATGGGAACAATTGCCATTAGTACATCTCTTAGGTCATGTATTCACATGTATTTTACTGTGGAGTCACTATCCTGGACTTCAACGCAATTAGTGGATTAAAGTGTAATAGTCACAATTGTGTTGCCACTAACTGATTATGTGTGTTGTGATGGCTGTGCCTTGGACTTGGACATGATATCAAGAGCATCTGAGGATTTCTAGCAGCATCTGACCTAGGCCCTTGAGACAATAAATGGGAACAACTGACATTAGTACATCTCTTTGGTCATATATTCATATGTATTTTACTTTGGAGTCATATTGACTAGTATGCATGTATTCACATGTATTTTACTGAGGCATATTTGCTATTATGGATTGAAACACTGGTTTCTCCTCTTTGGACATGGGCACATTGCGAGACAGAGTAACTTGTTTATCTAATTTGTGCTTTGATTATTTTCTATGTTGTCTCTGTTAATTTGGTACAATGCTTGAATATATATGTAATATTGGAGATGAAAAAGAAAAGAGCTCAAGCTAATTATATAATTACTTACAGAACTTCCCTTAGTGTGGTGTATTCGTATGACTCATGCCTTCTGTTCCAATGCAATATGGACATTGCACCACTTGCCAGTTATCCCATTACTAAGATATCATTTAGGTCTTACCATCTGGGATATCTGCAAGATATTTTCAAGTCATTACTATTGGGGTGCAAATTTGCTAATCTTTCGAAGTGCCTGTCCATCTAATATGTGTGGTTCTCTGACTGACAATAATGTTATACAGAGAGTTGCTTGATGTAGCCTAGATCATTAGTACTTTTCTTGTTTTAAAATTTAGTTTTCTTTTAAATGTTGGATATTTTATTTTTTGATTTTAAATTTTTTCTGTAGTTGGTGTGGTTTATATCTTGATGATGTTGAGGGTTGCCATTTTATTCAAGTTGGAACCTGTTGGACAATCGACAACATAAATGACATGATACTAAAAATAAATAAGATGGTGACACATAATCTTATGGAAACCAATGGTAAGTGGTTGTGGGGTTCACCTTTTCATATTTAGGCTTGCCTTATTCAGGAGAAAGACTTCAGTGCACCGGTGTCGTCAACCAATTATACACGGGCGGAGAGATGATGGGTTAGGCTTGCCTCATTCAGGAAATTGTATTTATTGTTATTAAAGGTGATTTGCAAAGGAAATTACTTGTTGCCCCTTCAAAATTCAATGAACCTTTTTATTCTTTCTTTTAAAAATTCAAGTTTAGTATAAAACAAGTGTTAATTAATATTGTAATTGTTGCTACAACATATTAGTACACACACTTGTATATTCCCTCCGTCCCAAAGTAAGTGTCCATTTTGGGGAGTAGAAGTTTTTAAGGGAACGTGAAATTATGCAGCCCCTTTAAAATTACCAAGTCCTTTTAAGTTTGAATATATATATATATATATATATATATAGAAACAAGTTGGAAATTTTTTGAAACTTCAAGGTCATTCATGGAAAGATGTGAAATATCTTATTCGAACTTTTTAAGTGGCACAAGTATTTTGGGATGGCCCAAAAGGGAAAGATGGACAATTAAGTTGGGACCAAGGGGGTATATTATTTGTTATGAAATTTTAAGAGAAGAAAAAAATTGCTTTACTCTTGATAACCTCAATTATTGGCTTCAATTGTTTTTTTATTTTTTATTTTTATTTTCTTCTCATATCATTTATAGACATGCAGGGAAAATATATATGTATGTAGACATTCTATTGAAAACATACATTAAAAATGCATTGAAAGAAAATTTGATACAACTATTTTGTTTTATTTTAGAAGTTAATTTTAGATTACTATTTTGGTGCCCCCTCCCAAAAAAAATTTAAATTTCCTGGCCCCGCTCCTGCAATTATATCTTTTCACATAAGTAAAAGGCATTTACTTCAGTGGGTTTTATCACTACACGTCAGCATTACAGTATTTTTCCTTGTTCAGGGAGGATAATCCAGGAGCATTACAGTATTTTTCCTTGTTCAGGGAGGATAATCTAGTGATACAATTAATCTCAGTCGTGGTGCCTCCCTTTTCATATTCTCGCCTTTCTATTCTTGATATCCTTCTTGTATGCCTCTGACTAGTTCTCGTGGGGAAGGATGAGGCCTTCTCCAGTTAAAGGGAAGACCACACCATTAAATATCTTCTTCAATTAATCTCTACTTTTTTATTTTTCCAATCTTGTCCTTGCTCTTAATGTGTTTTGCCTATGTTGCTTATGCACTTCTTCACATATTTAAAATTTCATTACTTGATTTTCTAGTGTTTTGGTGAATAGCATGCTTAAATGGAAATGCTAGACTATTGTCACACATATTTTTAAACATACAACATTATTCTAAATTTCTAATAACCAAGTTGACTTTTTCCATATTGCACAACACACAAGTAGTACTTGGTGCAGTTGTGGTAGCTCTGTGGTTTTGGTTGTGATTTATTTATTTATTTTCTCAACTTTGAAGGAGTCAAAGTTTCATTTCGAAAAAGTTCATAGCAAATTAAAATAGACAAACCAGCTTGACGTGAGTACATGTTAACAACTAATTCCTCTATAATTTTTAATTGTTATAGATTATGTAATTTAAGCATTTGCATCATCAACAAAAGGTTAGTATGTATCCAATTCACCCTCCAACATCTTACATTAGCGAGACGAACAAGGTCATGGCCTTCTCTTAGAGTCTGTTGAAACTTATGATTGATTGGACAGTGTATGCTTGTTCTGAACATGACATATATCATATTGCCTTCGTTTTTATCAAGCATTTCCCCTTCATTAATATTCTTGAGGGTCAAATTTGGTGAATTGTTGACTTTAAGGGGCACTTTCAAATTCCATATCATGTCAATTCATAATGGTCGTGAAGAAAGATCCGCAATTAAATATGGCACTAGGCTTGAGGGATTCAATTATTGAATAGGTGGCAGATTTAGAGAGATGGACATCACTAAGAAGATGAGGAGTTGAGCTTATCAACTTTGGTTTCATTCAAGTTTTATTGCATATTAGAGATTTCGGACCAGTTCAAAGAGATGAAATGAGCAAATTAGCAGCATTAGCAACTGTAAATCAGTCTTTATTGGAAGTGACGAACACCAACAAAGAAGGATTTGTCCTACTAGGTTCTGAACTAGAATTCTTGCACAATAACCGAGCCAAAAGCGACGGAGAATAGGAATCGAGTATCTGTAACAGTATTCTACAAGTTCATGATGAGTTTTAGATTGCTGGATTAGAGTTCAGCTCATCTGATTGCTCCCATATTTGCTATTTGCTGGAGTGTTGTTGATTATAATGTGCATCCATATTCATATTGCTATTGAAAATATTCGCGGAGGCCAAGCAACCAATAACAAATCCACCTAAATGTTTACTGGTTCATGATTCTTAGCAAACTACCAAGTGATCCTTACTGGCTAGGCGATGTTGTCTAGTTGAACGTTTTGATCTGATGGAAATTTTGATCCTTATTTCATTAGCAAACCATTATATGATCCTCACACTCATCTAGGATAGAGAAAGTGGAATTTTTTTGAAGTTTTCAGTCATATGTTTTTTGATTAACCACATTTTTCTGTTGCGAGTCTTTCTGACATGTTATAATAACATTTGTCTAAAGTTCTTCATATTAATTTACCTCTAATATTCTAAGCAACGTTCCAGGTCTTACTTATTGGAGGATCAACTGGTACGATGTTGGAAGCGTTACAAGTTGTAGGTGATGACCATGAAGGCCCACTAGGCGAAGTAAGTTTTGAGAATGATTAGTTAGTGCCATTTCCATACATTTTAGACCCCACATTGTGGAGACAGGCACAGTTCTTTCTCCTATAATTTACAGAATTTCTTTTTATTGTTCAGAGTAATGGGGTCAAATAGTTGGTAACAAATACAAATTTTACGTTTCTTTGTCTTTAGAGCTTTGAAGGGAACAATGGCTACATAGCTCCTTCTTATGATGGAGATTCATCATCAGGGAGCAGGTTCAAGATGAAACTTAAAGAGTTCCACAAAAGGTACTTAAAGTATCCTCAATTACGGGACAATTGGGATTTTTTTTTTTTTTTTTTTGGTTTCTTTATGCATCTAGTTTTGGATTCTTGCTGCAGCACGGCATCATTCACGGCATTAGACAGGAACTACCTCACTCCATTCTTTACAACTCAAAGTGCAGATGAAGATGATTTTGGTAAGATTAAAGCTTGCCACATATCCTTTTCATTAATAATTCATTTCAGGAGTTCTACCTAAGGAACCCGATCTGGGTTGCCACTGCATGCTGTCTATTGCATCCATGGATGAGTATCTTTTTGAAATTGGCTTGAATGGCTTCTAATGTCTTCTGCAATTACTTTGTTTTGCTTGAATGGAAACAATTTCAAGTAATAACATGTGTTAGATTTTTTAACAGTTTATACATAAGCTTGTACAGGGAGAGAATTTAGGATGGGTAGATCTGCCGGAGACTAGCAATGCTGGGACAATTTCCCTGCTTAGTTCTGTAAAAGTGGCATGAACAATGGGTGTCAACAGTTTATTTTTGTTCAGTTCCTTGTATATCTAGAACCAGAATATATATAGACTGCTTTCTGTTTAGATCGTTAGAACCAGATCCATAACCATAATAAATACCTGAAACCCATAGGGTACATGCCAATTGCACGACTGTATATGTATTTCTGTCAAAATAGTTTACATGAACAATTTATCCAAAGATTGCTTTTCACTCAAGCTAGTGTGTCATCTACTCAAGCTAGTTCTGTAAAAGTGGCATGAGCAACGGGTGTCAACAGTTTATTTTTGTTCAGTTCCTTGTATATCTAGAACCAGAATATATATAGACTACTTTCTGGTTAGATCGTTAGAACCAGATCCATAACCATAAATACCTGAAACCCATAGGGTACCTGCCAATTGCACAACTATGTATATATTTCTGTCAAAATAGTTTACATGAACAACTTATAAAAAAAAATAGTTTACATGAACAATTTATCCAAAGATTGCTTTTCACTCAAGCTAGTGTGTCATCTACTTATTTAATGCACTTGTTTACAAAGAGATTTTGATTTTGAATTTGAGTATCACCACTATGAGAATTTATGAGACCTAAAATATTGGCTATTAAGGTGCAAAGGGGCTATTGACATTGAAATCTTATTTTGAGATATCTCGTCAATCTTTTTCTTTCCCAAAAGGGTAGATTTCTACTCTATTGAACAGACACGAGTCTCACTGGTTTACAAGGGGGTTATCATTGGGTAGCTATTGTTGACCTCATTGTTGACAGTTTTTCTATTTTACTACCCAAAATGGAACCTGAAATCCTTTCTTTAGACTAGAGCTCAACTGACTGATCGGTTTTGTTGGATTGAGGAATCACATTACTGACCCAATGACACCTTTATTTGGATTCAAACTTCACTATTGTTCTGTATTTCTTCCTTTTCTTTCAATCTATTACTTTCTCTCTTTTCCTATTTTCTGTGTTCAGGGGATCGTTTCCTGCTAGGTGGAAATGATCTTCATTGATTCGTTTTAGTTTCCTTACTGGTTTTGATCTTTGTTTTCTCATTTAAATGGTTTGTTGTTGAGTTAAACCTAGATAATGTTGATCATGCCTTCATGATTATTTATCATAAATGATGCAAGTTATAACATCCCATATAGATGATCTATTATATGTATTTGTTAGCTCCTGCAAATTTATAATTTATTCATTACTAATTTCACGTGAATCAAATTTCTTTGATGTTTAACAGATGAGCCAATGCCAAGTTCTAGAAGAGCGGGTTTCCACGGTCATAACTAGAATTCCAAGTAAACAACATAGTGAGAAACATCCGTGCTGCAAAATAGAATCAACATTATGGACTGTAGAAGTTATAAAGTTGCAGCGGGGATGATCTGGAGCTATGCACTCTAACCACCTTTATAGTTGGACCTTCTTCCATGCTAAATATACCATTTATACAATTGTAGATGTCACATAGAAGCGAAAAGATAAACTATATCTAGCGTAGGGCAGGGCATCAAATGTTTATTCATCATACAAACCAACTTTTGTACATAATGTACCAAGTGGGATCTGGGAGATCAAAGGGTTCTAAATTTAATGTTTGTATACGTATGATTTCTCAGATACTGCACTATACATTGTTCCAATTAGAATTTCTGCTTAAGTTGTAGTAGTTAGAATTATTATTATTTTGAAGTATGCTTCTCCAGAGGAGAACAATATCCTATAATTCCCCCTATTGTTCATTTTATATTCAGTATATGTCATGAGAAATAAAAAATGACTTCTAAGGGTCTGTAGGTCACTCAGTTCAAGTTTGTTACAAGTTTGCAGAAGCAAGTCCATTATGCAGCCCATTGGGCAATATATTTTCTATCTGCATAAGGGCAGAGTGTGATAACTGAAGAGCACAAAAATGCTCAATATACGCTTTCCTCGTTCCTCCTTTTGTTTAATGACAAATGATGAAAACTCTGTTCATTCCATTTCTTTTCTTCACCATTTTGTCATCCCTCCCATCAGTATGTAGAGATACACACACACACTATAGTAAAAACTAAAAGGGTGATGAATGTTTTTGTAACTTATATAATTTATATTTTCATATATTTTTTAATTATTTATAGTTTTATAAAAAAAAATAGGCAAAACAGTTTCAAGCCTAAAATGCTTTAGAAAGTAATAATTGTTACCTCAAAAGAAACAAAATAATGTTTTCCATTGATAGATGAATGAAAACGATAAACAAATAAAAAATATATGAAAATAAAAATTCTATAATTTACTGAACATTAATAAATAAATACTATATAAAAATTCTATATATTATAAAATTCGAAAGGGTACCAACAATTTTTAGATTGTAATAATTGTCACTTCAAAAGAAACAAAATATATTAGAAAATCCAAAAGGTACGACAAACTATTCGAAACTATAATTTTATGAATTTATAAACTTTAACTCATTGAAAATAAAAATATTTCTAAATTATTTATTTCTCAATCTTTATCTTTTTTTGTATATCTCATTTTTTCATTAAATGAATTATTGTTAAGTGTCAATTTTTTTTAATTCTTCCATCGCAAAATAAGTTTTCACGACTTCTTGTTGAGTATTGTCTATTTTCACCAAAAAAAGAGAAGAATTTCCTTTGCAACTTGTCACTTTGGTACTGAATTCATCCATGTCCTGCAAAAAGAACAAATATAATTTAGAGCTATTGAGAAATTCAAGTACGTATTTTTTTTTATAAATAAATTAAAATTTTATGAATAAAGGTGAAAAATTACCTCAATTTGTAATTGTAGTAAATCATCTAGTGAACAATTTATTAATGATTGGCAATCATTGAACACTGTTAGGGTTGCAAGTGTTGCAATATGTTTCATACTTCGCATTTTAATTATTATCATGAATCTGCACATGAGTAAATATAAAGAATTATGTATTTGTAATATTATTAAACCATTGAAATAAATACAATATTAAGATTTTAAGATATAATATTACTTTTAAAAGCATTTTGGGTCTGTTGTGTTGCATCGAGGACAATATACTCTATCTTTTTCAATTTTAATTTTGTTGTTGCATTTCTCACACGCGTCGTACCACAGTTCACGATCATTAATGACCTTCTCAATTGTTGCTTCAAAAAAGTAATTTGTTTTCTGCAGGTTGTGCAACAAAATATAAGTTCTCAATGTATAAATTGAATATAAAAATGTGATACACAATTAAGGAAGAAAAATGTTCAATTAATTTTTTTTTATATTTTATTTTGTTTTGAATTTTATTAAGTAATTTAGAATTTGAATTAAACTCTTTAAATAATTTTTAGGTAATTTAGACTCTTTTTTTATATTATTAATAAATAAATATTGAAATACTGAAACTCTTTGCGCATGGTTTATAGTTTTATAATAGGTTTCCATATAATCCTTTATAACTCAATACCGATGTGGGACAATAAAAATGATTTGATCATGTGGGACAAGAAAAATGTTCAATTAATTTTTTTTATAAATATTTTTTATATTTTATTTTGTTTTGAATTTTATTAGGTAATTTGTAATTTGAATTAAACTATTTAAATAATTTTTAGATAATTTAAAATTTTTTATATTAATAAATAAATACTGAAATATTGAAACTCTTTACTCTTAGACAAAAGGCCAAGAAATGTGTGATTAATATTCTATAGTTTTATAAGAGGCTTCCATGTAATCCTTTATAACTTAAAACCGACGTGGGACAATAAAAATGTATTGATCATGTGGGACAAGAAAAACGTTTCAATTATTATTATTTTTTTTATAAATATTTTTTAATATTTTATTTTGTTTTGAATTTTATTAGGTAATTTGTAATTTGAATTAAAATATTTAAATATTTTTTTAGTTAATTTAAACTCTTTTTTTATATTAATAAATAAATACTGAAATACTGAAACTTTGCTCTTCGCCAAAAGGCCGAGAAATGTGTGTTAGGTCTATACTTTTATAAGAGGGTTTTATGTAATTCTTTATAACTCAAAACCAATGTGGGACAATAAAAATGTTTTAATCTTAGCCAAAAGGCCGAAAAAGGCATGGTTAATATTTCTTTAGTTCTATAATTTTATAAGAAGCTTTCATGTAATCCTTTATAACTCAAAACCGATGTGGAACAAGAAAAATGTTCAATTAATTTTTTTATAAATATATTTTTATATTTTATTTTGTTTTGAATTTTATTAGGTAATTTGTAATTTGAATTAAACTCTTTAAATAATTTTTAGGTAATTTAAACTCTTTTTTTACATTAATAAATAAATAGTAAAATACTGAAACTCTTTGCTCTTAGCCAAAAGGCCGAGAACGGTGTGATTAATATTTCTTTAGGTCTATAGTTTTATAAGAGGGTTTCATGTAATCCTTTATAACTCAAAATCGATGTGGGACAATAAAAATGTTTTGATCTTAGCCAAAAGACCGAGAAAGGTGTGATTAATATTTCTTTAGTTTTATAGTTTTATAAGAGGCTTCCATGTAATCCTTTATAACATAAAATCGATGTAGGACAATAAAAATGTTCAATTAATTTTTTTTTGTAAATATTTTTTATATTTTATTTTGTTTTGAATTTTATTAGGTAATTTGTAATTTGAATTAAACTCTTTAAATAAGTTTTAGATAATTTAAACTCTTTTTTTATATTAATAAATAAACACTGAAATATTGAAACTCTTTGCACATGGTCTATAGTTTTATAAGAGGCTTTCATATAATCCTTTATAACTCAAAATCGCTGTGGGACAATAAAAATGTTTTGATCTATAGTTTTATAAGAGATTTCCATATAATCATTTATAACTCAAAACCGATGTGGGACAATAAAAGTGTTTTGATCGCCAAGAAAAGTGTGATTAATATTTCTTTAGTTCTATAATTTTATAAGAGCATATATAATACTTTATAACTCAAAACCCATGCTAGACAAGAAATATTTTTTTATATTTTATTTTGTTTTGAATTTTATTAGGTAATTTGTAATTTTTAAACTCTTTAAATAATTTTTTAGGTAATTTAAACTCTTTTTTATATTAATAAATAAATATTGAAAAACTGAAACTCTTTGCTCTTAGCCGAAAGGCCGAGAAAGGTGTGATTAATATTTCTTTAGGTTTATAATTTTATAAGAAGCTTCCATATAATCCTTTATAATTCAAAATCAATGTGGGAAAATAAAAATGTTTTGATCATAGCCAAAAGGCCGAGAAATGTGTGATTAAGGTGTGGGACAAGAAAAATGTTTAATTAATTTTTTTTTATAAATTTTATTTTGTTTGAATTTTATTAAGTAATTTGTAATTTAAATTAAATTCTATAAATAATTTTTAAGTAATTTAAACTCTTTTTTTATATTAATGAACAATCATTTGATCTAGGATTAAACATATAGTATAGTATTTATTATTATTACTTTGACAAAATTCACTCAGCTTTGCTCTTTAACACTTTTTATTTTGCAATGGCAAGAAAGTAACACTAAATAAAAACTTGATGACAGTGTTGGACGTAGTAGAGCACCTTAGTCTACGTGCAAACTTAATCACACAATTTGATTGTTGTTCTTAGGCTGCATGTTTCTGGTTGTCTTAGGCTTAGTTTGGTCACATGGAAATAGCAAAAAAGAAAAAGAAAAAGAAAAAAAAAAACTTTCAAACATTGTAAGAGTTTTGGTTGGCAAGAAAAGAAATTTTTTGGAAATTATACTTTCTTGAGAAAACTATATGAAATTTCAATTTTACAACCTTTTTCACTTTCTAAAATAAATTATGTTTATGCATATTTTTGGTAAGAATATTATAATAGTTACCCCAATCTTTACATATCACAATTTATTATTTAGATTTTTATATTGCTTTTATTTTTATTTTAAATAAAATATGTATTAAATATAAATTTAATTAGACCTATTGTCATATTTAATTAGAAATGGAGAATTTAGGTAAATCATAATATTTTTTATTACCTTTTATACCATACAAACTACGAAATGATAGTTTTTGAAAAAATTTCATACTAACCAAGTAAATCCTAAAAAAATATTTTCTTTTCCTCTACTTCACCTTTTTTTTTACTTTCACTTTTCAGTATTAATTTTGATCTAACCAAACGGAACCTTAATTATGTAGGAGTACTGAGTGAGTGTAATAAATCACCATTACCAATGCCCAAGGATGAGGTTCGTAGCGAATCTTGGCCAGCATTATATAGACTTCTTTTGCACTTTTGCCCTTTCCACTTCTCCAAGGTACTGCTTTACTTTACCCATGTTAAAAGGATAGACTTCAGACTTTCACATGGTAAAAAATCTCATTTTCGGTTTCCATTTTCACTGTACAAGATGCTACATAGGTACAGCTCCGAGGCATACTAAATTATCATCCGACTGGACCAATTGTAACCCAAAATGCAAACAAAAAAATAAATAAAGCTGACGTACCATTGACAACTACTTTTCACTAAAGCACTCTCACGCAATATTCCTAATGACAGTGGAAAAATTGTATATACTTCCTCTGTTTCAAATTAAATATTTTTTTTCAGAAATCTAACTTTTTAAAAAGTTAGGTTTTAACATTCTTTTATTCTATTAGTAGTGAATGAATTATCAAATATGTCCAGAATGACATGATGGTTTACCTTTTATAAGTTCAATGTAAGACAATTAAATTGGTAATGTTACAAAAAAAAGATAAATAATAATACTGTTTTGACTTTTCAAATGGGACATCTATTTTGAGACGGCAAAAAAAAAAAAAAAAATGTGAACATTTAATTTGAGACTTTGGAAATATAATTAATGAAATTTAATTAATTAGCCGAATGGTTCAATGAAAAAGGCTTAAAACTGATAAATGATTAAATGTAAGGACTTGGGTATGAGTATGAGAGCAAACCACTTAGCACAACATAATATTCTCCTCCCACTACCCTGCGCACATGCAGCAGCTAATGCCCTTTCTCGGTGGTGCAGACGCCAACAATAACTAAATTCCTAGGCAGTGAAGTACTAAAATTTCACATTTTCAATGAAACCTAATGTATTACAAATGTAGATTTTAAGGAAGTTCAGAGGACAAGACGAGTAGAGTAACATCTAAGACCAACGGGGTTCCTTGTCCAATGAGATTTATATTTTTCCAGAGTAACTACAGTCTACAAATTCAGGGGGAAGGGGAGTCCTATAATGCAAATAACATGCAGCTCGTGGAAACACTACAAATTGCTACCTGAAACTTTTCCCAATTGATCTTCATTGCCGATAGATACCCCTGCTGAATGATCAAACTGCTCTGCGTTCAGGAAAATCGAGTGTGGTTGCTGGTAAGGTGGGCTTAAGCTCGACTCCAGTATCTGGTGCGTAAGCATCATCTCTGGTTTAGTGTATGCTGCATCCATGCTCACTCGTTGCTTCTTTAATGACCTCTCACCTTTTGGGCTCTCAGCTGAGGGACTAACATGGCAAACAGAATCTGGTGTCAGTGGCTCACAACGAGAAGAGAACAATTCATCATCAGAAATGCTCTTCACCTGGGCACATTCCTTGGTAGCATTGTCTAGGGCTGGAGACTCTGAAGTTGGGGCAGGGGTTACTGGGTCAGTCTTACTGTTAGATTCAGGGCAGTTGTCACCTGATAATGGGGCAGAGGCCCCAGAGCCAGGCACTTCTGAAAGAACTCCGCTGAGTCTCTGTTGCTCTTCAATTATCTTCTTTAAGTATTTGCCTTGGGCTTCTATCCGCAACTGTAGCTGTCGCTGCACCTGTTGATTATAAATTTGATAATTTATTTGGTAAAGCTGTCTCATGAACAAGTGATGCCTAATATATGTCAGGATCACCACACTTCAAACAAAGGAGACAAAATTTATCCGTACCCTGTTTCTAAAGCAGTCAATTGGCCAGTTATTTCATGTTCCTTTTTTGCTTTTAATTAACTGCTCCCAAATGAGTAATACTTTTTCATTAGGTAGTGACAATCTCAAGGAAAGGTCAATCCTACTTTCCAGCAATCGCTGGACTGTTTAGGCCGATTTTGGCCTATAGTTATAGTATGGTTTACCAGACTGAGGTCGGGCGGCCTTTGGCATGTGCGCTTCATTTTGTAGCCAAACACCTATAAACTTGGTAGATATTAACCAAGTATTCTCCCATTATCGCTGTGTGCTAATTACATTAAGTTGATTATAATGATTAAAATAGGGAAAAATTTCTCATGGAGAAAACTGCAAAGAGAAGCTCACCTCCAATTGCTCATGCAGTCGCTTTTGCACCTCCATTTGCAGCTTGAGTGCTTCGGTAATTTGCATCCCGCTGCAAACAGAAACACATTTTCTCAGATCTGGTAGCCCATAATAAACATAGCCAGTGTTTCATTCTTTAACTTCTACTAGTATAACTTATTTGTCTATTTGCTAATGTAAGCCAAAGAGAAAATAATGCAAATTCACTTACGATGAACTATCCAAACTGGAAAGCGTATCTCCAGATTCTTTCTTGTCAGCTTTTTTCCCTAGAATTAACAATTTTAAACAGAAGATATTACTTTCAAGGATGTTCCATTCTACAACATTCATATGGAACACTGACAAATAAAAGAATCCTGCTCTGTTCTAATTCTCCAACAAAAATAATCAGTATAATTGCCACCTGCACAACATAAATATGATAGGCCTACCATCAGATGACGAGTCCGGGAGGTATTTTGCAAGTCGATATTTCTGCATCAAAATAGTAAAACTAGTGAAAGTCACAAAGAGACAAGAATCTGAAAATAAAAAAGTATCCACAAAAAGTAGATTTGCCAAAAACTGATCTGGTATGACCCAAGGACCATTTCCCTGTTGGAAATTGGGTATATGGTGGCTGTGGGGATGCAAAATGTGAAACACGCAAAAGTGGAAACAAAATCTATAATTTTGTAATTGTTTGATTTAAGTTGCAAAGCAGTAATGAAAACTAGAGCGAATTAAATTTGTAAAGAGGAGGATACTGGAAAAAATAATCAAAATGGCTCATAATTTAATAATTATATTTGTTGAAGGCACACCTTGGCCTGGAAAAGCCCTTGACTCGTTATGGCTCATGTGCTCCGCCAAAGCGTCTCAACTAACTAAAGGTGAAATCTCTTTGATCAAGTGCACACATCTTCATAGGCTCTAAGCTAAAAAAAGAATGCATTTCTTTTTAATCATATGATCATATATCTTTTGAGCCGACCCCAAGTAGTTGGGAAAAGGCTTCTTGTTGTGATCATATATCATTTTAATGGCCATTATTTGACTAGTTTATTGTTGCATATTAAACCATTTCAAAAGTACATTATTTGACCTGAATGCATATGCAAATTGGAAGAATATATGTACATTGATATATCAGTGAACTAATATGCTGGAAAATTCTCTCAATTTGATGTTGATTACTCTGTATTGCATATTTTAGAATTTTAAGTTATAATTATAATTTATATCTAATATACATGTGAACACATTTACGCTTTAATTGACTCAAGCACGCGCCTTACATTATGCCATGTGCTTAGGCTCCTAGAGACCCCAATGCCTTTTAATGAACCTTCAACCTTTAGTAACTATGGTAATAATAAACATAGCAGGGATAGTAGAAAGCAAACAAATATTACCTGTAAATGGCTTTTGACGTGGTAAATTGTTAAACCTTGCACACCCATGACTCTGAGGACACCTTTAGGTGTAGCCCCTGAAAGAAACAAAGAAAATTCTCTCAAAACACTTCATTGATTAAGCATAAATTTCACATATGGAAACTTGTCAGATTTCTTGTTTTAAACACCCAATCACTTAAAAATGAGTTTGTTGATAAACTGATCTACATCTCCAGTAATTTCCCTTCTGAAATAATTTACATAAAAACTTTAATCAGTTGAGCTAATAATCAATTTTAGATCATGGAAAGGTGACATGTTCAATCATAAGAGCCGATTTAAGCTCTAAAATAGCTCCACTCACTAATAATGTAAAATGTGGCTGATAACTTCCAGATAAAACAGGAGTGTCTAAACACAAAGTAACATACAAAATGCATCATTATTTTCAAAAATTCATGTTGTACTTGATTTTGCAAAAACAACTGGACATTTTAACTTAACAAGATCATGATAGGGTAACTTCTGGACTGCAACAAGAACAATATATGAATAAAGAAGCTACAAGGAAGGAAAGCTTAAATTATCTCCAGAGCAGGAGAGGAAAGAACATCACAAAAAACTGATGAACGTTACTTATCAAGGAAAAAAGTTAGCCAGATGAAGGTCTGCAAAACTCACGATCTGGTCCACCCAGTTGTGCCACAGCATCAACAAAGCGGTCGTGCAGCTCGTGCGTCCAGCGCAGTCGTTGCTTTGAAGCCAGACTAGAATTGTTGCTAAGACTATTCCCACCACTGATGGGGTCCATTGTGCTGGCACCACAATCAATTTGCTGACTGTGGATGATTGAGTTGTTGTGAACTAAACTTGAACTAGGAACACCTTGCGGTAGAAACATTTGTCATTTATCTATTAACAAGAAATCAGAGTCATAAAAGCATAAAGAAAACATTTGAAGAATTGAAACAAATCTGCCATAAGCATTTCGAGATCAAAATTAAACTGCACAAAGAGAGTTCAATTTCATAAGTCCACAAGAGATTCCATAGCTCAAAGGATGATATCATTCTCCAATATTCAGCTAACAGGTTAGGGATGATAATTATCAATAAGGTCCAAATCTATTCCAGTTCTTTAAGATATTAGATTGCATCACTTGAGACAGCCAAAAAAGGAAAAACAAATATACACCAGAGACACTTAAGTCATTGGGAATAACCTGACCCGCTGGAAATCAACCCAATTCCACCATCCAGACAAGTTCATGATATCATCTTGTTCAGCCACCCCAAAAACCTCAGATTTTGAACCAACTATAAGGGAATATTTTAAGAACTTTGATAAAGTAAGCTAATGTTTCCAAATTTCCACGATTAAAAATAAAGTCATCTGCGACACTATTTAAAAAACTGTGCATCTAGATGTAATAACTTCTAAATTTTAATTGCCTCAATTGCACAAAAAATAATTTTTGGTTAGAAGTCAATTTCAAAAGTCCACAAGAGATTGACTAGATAAAGAATAAAATTTTTGTCCATGATAGAAACTCACCACTAATAACAAATCATTGAATGAAGGTGCAAACAATTAAGTGCAAAAGGATAACGGAATAGTGGATATGGGTTGAATACAAGGGAAGGGAATGTGCTATAATTGACTGAAAGATTTGATTTAAGAGTGATCCAAAATTGATTAGTAAACTTGATTCAGAAGAGCATCTAACTACCAGTGGCTCACTGTGGATCACCATAATTATGTCAACTTTCTGAATGAAAGAAAACTGATTGAGAAAACAGGAATTGATGCAGAATTAATGGTGGCAACCATCACCAGAGCCACTAGTGAAAATAAAGAGGGAATTGATCAACCAAAAAATCTTGGTTAGAAGAAAGAGAAGATAAACTAAATCTGATTCCAAGTAAAGGGTAATCAAGAGTGCTAAGATCTTCCAAATAAGTAAGCAAAATTTTAAAAATAATGCACTGCTCCAATTTTATTGGAGCAAACGGAGAAACCATCTCGACCCACATATAGCACACAAAAATATCCAGAAAAATCCTCCAACATTCTACCAAAATCAGGAAGAAACCCACATAGGTAACTCTAAGCATCCGAAAATTTCAAGACAAGTGCATATGCAATGGCAGGGTCTTAAGCAAGCAGTTCCTATTGTTGAGGTCTACAGCAAGAACACGTTATTTAGGCCTTAAAAGAAATTGAACACCCAGTATCAGCACATTCAATTACATTAAATTGGGTTTATCAATTTACAAAGAGTCAAAGACATGGATTTTCTACATATAAACCGTATGTCGAGTCCACAACGGGTTCATGTTTTCAACTTGAAAAATCTCGCCCAAAACGGAACAGTATAGTAATCAAACTAGAGAAAATGAAAGCCAAAGACTAGTAATCAAACTACAAACAACATCGAAAAGAAACGGAAAAAAAAAAAAAAAACCCACATGTCAATAATCGCAGTAGATTCACCAAAACACAACAGGAACACATACAATTAGGGTTGCAGAGCTCAGAACCAACAAAAAAGCCACCATCTCCGAGAAATGGCGACAGAAATTGAGAATTTTACACCGAAATTACAGACACGCCAACTTTTTACCCTTTTTTCAAAAAATGTTCATAAGAAACTCAGAGTCGATGACGCAGTCCACGGCGAAGAAGCTGAACATTGACCACACATATATGCATACATAGAGAGAGAGAGATACAGACAAGAACAGAGAAAGAGAAGAGAGAGAAGAGGTGTACCAGATCTGAAAAACCCAGGAGATGATATAAAGAAGAAGAAGAAGAAGAAGAAGAAGAATTGAAGCGAACCCAATAGATCTTCAAATTTGGTAAATTTGAAATTGAGCTTGATTGAACGATAAACGTTGTCAAACACGACTGATTAAAATATATAATAAAAATAACAATAATATCTGTGTATATATGATTATATGAGATGAGAGGGCAATTAATAAGACGAATAGTTATTAAAAAAACCCTACCCGCGGTCAGGGGTTTGGTCTGCCCGTCAATGACGGAATCTTGGAAGTCATATTCCGGCCTTCTGTCTATTGGTCCTTCCCTCCCGCCCCCAATTCGTTTCTATCCTCTCTTTGATGCTAATGTTTTTGGACCTTCTCTTTTCTCTTAGTACTTCTTCCATTCTTTTTCTTGTTATGAATCTTTGTTGATTACTTGGGCTGTGTTTGGTACAGCCGAAAAAGTAACCAAAAGTGCTGATAACATTATTTCTTCGGACAAATTAATACGTGGACCGAGATTATATCATTTTTCGCTCTCATTCCGAACCTCCTTTGAATTTTCAATCATTTAATTATACTGGTTTAGGTACTATCAAATTCACCTCACCAAAGGCTGGGCTAGGCGAAACCCAACTGATCGAATTGCAAGAAAAGTAACAAAAAGTGCTAATAACATTATTTCCTTCGACAAATTAATACGTGGATTGAAATTATATAATTTCCATCCATCACATTTTTCGCTCTCATTCCAAATCTCCTTTGAGTTTTCAATCATTTTATTATACTCAGTCTGGGTACTATCAAATTCGCCCCATCGAAGGCTGGACTAGGCGAAATCCAACGAATCGGGGAAAAATTGTCATCCCCTGAGGATGAACCATCACTTTTCCATTGCACAAAATTTTATTCCTCCAAATTTGGATGATAGAGGGGAAGGGAGAGAAGGTTATAAAAATTTTAAAAGACTGTTATAAAAACTTAAAATAATAATGTTACATCCATCTCAAAATAGGTGTCTACATTGGTATCTGTAACTGATATCGATGAGTTATAAATATTAATGTGAACACTTATTTTGAGATGGAGGGAGTACTACATATAAACCAAGAGCCTTGTGGCCTAGATATCTCCTATATCTTTCAAGTAAATGGTGAAGGTTTGAATCCCCTAAAGTAGGGTGCGTATTTCTTGCTAATGAAATATATATATATATATATTAATTATTAGATCGCACCCAATATTAACAATTTATATTTTTCTTTACCTCCTAATAAATAAAGTGAAGTGTTATCACATTCTATTATCATCCATCCAAATAAAATGAGAGAAGAATTACACATTCATTCTTCTTTCTCTTCCATTCATTTTTTTTTTTTTTCTTTTTTCTCTTTCTATCAAACAAAATATATAAAGTAGTTACAAGCAGTCAATTATTTTACCTATGTTCCGCTATTTTTTAGAAGGATTGCAAAACCTAATTCTCAAATTCTTTCAGTTCTTTTCAAGATTTTACACCAAACACAAAATAACATGTCAATCTATTTCCATCGGTTACTTCTCCTTTCAGTTATTCTATCCAATCAAACTGGACTTTAATGATTGAATGGAGAGCAAATGATTAAGGGAATAAATTAACTGAAATTGCTATCACCATCCTAACATTTTTTTAATTAACAGATGCTTACAAGGGTACTCCATTTATATCTACATTTACGTACTCCATTGGCTTTGTCCGCCCTGTTGGCTGTTTTTTTTTTACTTCGTTTACTTTGCTTTGTCCGCGGAGAGTTAACATGCCCTTTTGTTATTAACAACCCTTTTTAACCAAATTTTTTACCACTATTTGTATAATTACATAATAAATTTTAGGTCATGGTGCACTAAACCCATGCTCTGGTTTCAAAAAGTAGCAAAATATCATTCCCTTCTTTTTTGGAAGGCAACAAACACCCTTTAATTTACAAAATAATGCAAACCACCACTTTTTAGTTAAAAAATGACTAACTCAGGCTAAAAGATCATGTAAAATTACATAATTATCCATAGATAAAATAAATAAATAAACATGAAGGGAGGATTGGAGGGCGACAATGCAGTGGCGGAGGAGACAATGGGTTACGGTTGCGGTTGTTGACAATGGGTTGTCTGTCTGCATGAGAAAGAAGCGCATGTTTACTGATATTGTCTCGCGATTGAATAAGGAGAGAGCGTAGAGCTCTCTTAATAATGTTACTGTAAAAATATCAAAACACCTAATAAACTCGCATTCCATTTCTTAAATACATGGTTATTTTAAAAAAAATGTAAAATTAAATGTTTTTGAAAATTGCTTTTAAAAAAAAAAAACAAATTAATCAACAAAAAAATGGAAATAATCAACAAAAAAAATGATGACATTAGAGGTCGATACTCATGTATGTATTGAATATTTGTCTTTTGTGTGTTTATTTCATATTGGGTTAACAAGGAGGGACAAACCAAGAAATTGTGTATGGGACAAGAGTGGGATTTTATAATTTTAGAGGGGCAATATTAAAATTTTTTAAATATATAATTCAAAAATTAAAAAATCACTAGTATAAATACTAAAAAAAATAAAATTAAGGAGGAGGTGGAAATACCCCTGGGCTCACTGACCATATACTAGGTCTGTTTGAACAAAGCTTGCATGTATTAGCACTTAAAAGAATTCTAAAGATTGGACAAAGGAAAATTAAGGATTGATAATTGAAGAGAGAATTTTCTCTTGAGCAAAAAAGATTTGCTCAAGAGAGAAATCGGATCATAGCTAAGGAGATTGACCGCTTACTAGAAGCAGGATTCGTAAAGGAAGTATATTACCCACAATGGCTGTTGAACATGGTGGTAGTTCAGAAGAAGAATGGCAAATGGAGGTTGTGAATTGATTTTACCAATCTAAATAAGGTTTGTCCCAAAGATAGTTACCCCCTCCTAAAGATAGACCAAATGGTAGATGCCACCACTGGGTTCGAGTGTCTGGCATTCTTAGATGCGTATTCAGGATACAACCATATCCCTATTGACACTAAAGATGAAGAGAAGACCTCATTCATCACAGAACGAGGATCATATTGCTACAGAGTCATACCGTTTGGGTTCAAAAATGCTGGGGCAACTTACCAGTGCCTGATTAATAAAATATTTATGAACCAAATGGGCCAAACAGTGGAGGCCTACATTGATGATATGATGGTAAAGAGTAAAATTAAGTATGATCACATTCGTGACTTGCAGGATGTGTTTGATACTTTAAGGAAGCATGATATGAGGTTGAACCCCTTAAAGTGTTTCTTTGAGGTTTCTTCAGGACAGTTCCTAGGCCACATAGTCAATTGCAGAAGCATTGAGGCCAGCCTAGCTCAAGCCACAGTCCTAGTATAAAACAAAGAGCTTAAGTCCCTTAAGGATATACAGGTCCTGACAAGAATAATAGCTGTATTGAGAAGATTCATATCGCATCTCTCGGATAAGTGCAAGCTCTTCTTTAATGCTAGTAGAGCGAAAGGGAAGTAGACTTGGGGGGCTGAGTAACAAGAGGCGTTAGCCAACCTGAAAGAGTATATGTAAAAACTACCGATCTTTTCTGCCCTCGAGCAGGGCGATACATTATACTTGTATCTGGCCGTGTTGAACATGGCTACCAGTTCAGCGGTAATAAGATAAGAGAACATGAAACAAAAACCAGTGTTCCATACAAGCAAAACCCTGGGAGATGCCGAAAAGAAATACCCAAAGATAAAAAAGATTATTCTCACACTGGTTAACGCAAAAACAAAATTGCGACACTACTTCGAGTTTCACCCGATTGTATTATCAATTAGCTACCCCTTGAGAGCTATTCTGCACAAGTCGAGCCTATTTAGGAGGATCTCCAAATGGGCAATCTAGTTAAGCCCCTTCGAGATGAGTTATGAGCCCCGCACTGCGATCAAAAGATAAGCCGTGATAGATTTTTTGCTGGACCATGAGCCCGACGAAGAATTCGAAGCTCCCAAGGAACATCAATGGTATTTCTATATTGATGGATCCTCGAATCAAGTGGGTGTTAAGAGTCGGCATTGTAATTAAAACTCCAGATGGTATATTCTTGACTCAAGCGACTAGACTTGAATTCTCAACCACCAACAATGAATCGGAGTACGAAGCTCTATTAACAGGTCTGCACCTAGCTAAGGAGTTGTAAGTACAAAACTTGCATGTATTTAGTGATTCCCAGTTGGTTGTGAAACAAGTGGTAGGAGATTACATCGGAAAAGACGACCACATAGATGCTTACTGATCAACAGTAGAGAAGGAAGCACAGGGATTCGGCCAAATCAAATTTGACTATCAGTTAGCAAATGCAACGTCCAACTCAAGTGATAATTTGACTAGGGTGGTTCTAATGGACACTTTAGACCGTCCTTTAATACTAAAACCTGAACTTATCTGTGTTATCACATATGAGCCTAGCTGGATTGATCCGATCATGACTTACATCAAAACTGGTACATTGCCGGAGAACAAAGTAGAGGCCAGAGCAATCAGGATAAAGGTAGCAAAGTACGCAATCACCCATGGGCAGCTGTATCGATGGTCATACTCAGGGCCCTATCTAAGATGCCTATCCCCCTCTAAAGCTCAAGAGGTCCTCCAAATGATTCATAACAGAGTTTGTGGAAATCACACTGGTGCCCGATCGCTAGCCTATAAAGCCTTGACATAAGGTTACTTCTGGCCACATATGTCAAGGGATGCAGAGGAGTTCTCCAGAAGATGTGACAAATGTCAGAGGTATGGACCACTCATCCACTAGCCCTTTGTAATACCCCTAATTTTAAAAGGACAGTTCTGGAATTTAATTATTGTATTTAATTGCATTTTATTTTATTATGTGTCATTTTTATTGGATTATTTGTTTGATAATTGATTATCTGCTTGTTTGTCCTTTTATTTGAATTAATTGTTTTCTTTTATTAATATTATTGTTTTTGTTATTGGGTTATTTTGAATTGGGTTAAGTTAAATGTTAATTTATTTTAGATTAGGATTATATTTCTGTGGAAGTTTTTTTAAACATTAAATTATATAATTAAGTTGATTTACGTATATGTCAGTTAGGGTTGGAGTTACTGTAGCCGACCTAGGTTGTATTAAGTCGCCGTGTATTGTAACTTGGACAATTGCATGGGCCAACTAAGGGTTTGCATTAGGTATCTAGCTATATACGGATTAGGGTTGGAGAATTAAGCTTATAAATATATTTCTTCATGTGGGTTTAGGGTTTAGCAAACAAACATCACACAACCTGCATTCACGTATCAGGTTTTCAGAGAAGGAAAAACAGAGGGTTGTAGAGAGTTTCAGAGAGAACCTTTGGGGATTGAAGGAAGAATTCAAGGAGAAGGTTGGGGATTGAATTAGGAGCAGCAGAGGGAGTTAAGACAACCATCGTTGCCGGAGTTGACAGAGGTCTGCAGTTCCACAGTCTGAAACTGAAGGCAAGTTCTGTTTCCACTCTATCTCTTTAATCTGTGTTTTGTACAGGCTTAGAAAGACTCTAAGGATTAAACCAAGATTAAAAATAGGTTAGTGATTAAATTTATCTTGTATGCATGTTCAAACGGAAATAAATCTCGTGAATCAAACTATGCAAATTTTTAAAGAAACTGTGAACTGATGCATGCTGTGTCTTGGGTTCAAGCTTGGTTAATTGGGATTATTGATGCATGTTGGGGGGGTTTCTCATATAATCTAGGATAGTGTATAAACACTGGAACAAGGTTTTAAAATACTAAATAGGTTTTGAACTTAGCCGGAGGCGAGGAAGACAACCGGAGAAGGAATTACGGCTCTCAAAGGAGGAGAGCCGGCTCACCAAAGGAGGGAGTCGGCTCTAGGGGGTGTGAGAGCAGGCTCCACAAGGGATTGGAGCCGGCTCCACAAGGGTAGAGCCGTCTCCAATAAAGGAGGAGCCGGCTCCACCAAGAAGGGAGGCGGCTCCAATATTCTGGAGGCGGCTTCAGCTTCTTTTCTTGCTTCTGCGTGATTTTGGGTTGTTTCGGGACCTATGGGAAGATGACTGGGTTGTTTCAGTGGGTAAAATTGGGTTGTATAATAGTTCCAGAGATGTAAAAATGGTTGGAGGTATTGTTAATGGTATTGTGTTGAACCTTGAAGCAACCTAAGGTTAAACGAAGAAACTGCATATGTGAAGTTGTCTTTGAAATCTTTGTAAACTGTTTACTACTTTGAGCAAAGTTTTGGGTTCTTTTGCATGTTTAAATTTATCAAGCATGTTCAACTATATTATAAGCATATATTTATCTATCTAGAAGATTAAGTATGCTTAAATGGAATTAATGGATGTTTTAAATTTATCAACTATTGCATCAGATATGGTTGTGCAGGAGGAGTGGTAGGTTTCAGTCTTACTTAAGAAAATGGGACTGGAAAGGGATTTCTAAACCTTATGTAGGATGATTAATGTGTTGTACACATGTTAAACTGTTTATATGCAAATCTTGAAGTATGGTGGATTGGTATTTATTACTGTTCCGTCAACTATATTAACTAGAGGAACTACATGTACAGTCTTTTCATCTATATATAAAGCACTGTAATGTGATATTTAAATGGTATATTGGATGCATAAATTGGTTGTAAATATGTTAAACTATATTTATGTTTCTTTTGGAAATTAGTTGATACATGTTTATGTTGTGTTATTAACTATGGAACTGGAGGATTGTATGCACCGGTATGGGACGGTGGCATACTATGTATGGATTAGTTAAAACACTAAGTCCTACCTAATTTGGAAGGAGTTGGATTAACCATACAAAGGTTAAGTCCTACTTAAATGGATGTATATGAACCGGTATGGGACGGTGTCATATTGGGAATGGATTAGCTCAAAACACTAAGTCCTACCCAAATTGGATTAAGGTATGGATTAATCATAAAGGTTAAGTCCATCACCTACTTATGTCATGTCAATCAAATAAATTGAATGACCTACCATGGTTTCAGGATGGATTTGTTATACATATATCAGACCACTATACAGATGGATAATATTTTGTATTATGAGTACGGACTTTATATATTTATTATATGGGCCATGGTATGAGCTTGAGTCTCAGGACCATGGTTAGGGTGCGTATATTGCCTAGGATGGATAGCTGGACAGAGGTGTTGTTCCCTGGTAGGTCTAGATACACATGACCACAGTATGTGCGATTTGCATGGTATCTCTATTCAGGCTTAGACAGACCTTTTTGGACTAGTGAGCGTCCTATAGTGTGTACTTATACATATATGGACTACTCTAGATATTGTTGAGTCTTCCTAGGATGTATCTGCGTATCGGATTACTGTTTGGATTGTAGTAGATCAGGACTTGCATGTGGGCCTGACCCACTCCTTTATTTTTCAGGTATTCGTCAGTTTCAGGGTTAGAGCTTGGACGTGCAGAGCAGATACAGATATTCATTCCTCCGACTATGTAGGAATCTTCTCTATGTTAGCTTTAGAATTTATTTCTATAATTTAAACTCCTATTTGAGAACTTTATAAGGGGTCCAATAGATGGATTCCCGGGTTGTAAACTTACAGAGGTTTTGAAGCTTGGATGTTTATAATTATATTTGGAAGATATTTATTTCTAGTTCCTTTCAGCTTTTAAATTTTTATTTCTTAAACAATTTTATATTCTGTGTTCGATTTAAAATACTTTAATTGTTTGATATCCCTCGGAATCGGGTCGGACTTGATCAACCCGTGTCTCGGATCCGAGGGGTATCACACCCTTGGAAGACTTACACGTTATGGCAAGCCCATGGCCGTTCGCTCAGTGGGGGATGGATATCGTAGGGCCACTTCTAATTGCCCGATCATATAATAAATACGTTCTACTTGTTACAGATTACTTCACCGAGTGGGTAGAAGCTGAACCTTACCCCTAAGTGATCCACACTCAAATAAAACCCTTTATATGGAATAATATCATTCGCCGATTGGAAGCCCTCGATCTATTGTTATGGACAATGGGACAAATCTGGACAACCAACATGTCAGAGAGTTCCTTGATGAGTAAGGAATCAACCAAATGCTAGCAGCCGTGAGCCACCCGCAAGGGAATTGGCAAGCAGAAATCATAGAAGGAACAATCTTCGATTGTATATATAAAAAAAAGATTAGAAAAAGAAAAAGGGAACTGGCTTGACGAGCTCCTAAAGGTCCTATTGGTATATCGTACAACTCTAAGAATGCCAACTGGAGAAAGCCCATTTGCCATGGCTTACGGATCTGAGGCAGTCATCCCAACCGAACAAATGATGCCAACTAGACTTGTCAACGGATCGGATTTGGACCGGATCATGGTCAATCCGATTTGAATCCGATAAGCATAATGAGTGATCAGATTCGGTCTGATAATCCGACAAATTTTTACTGAGTTAATCTGAATCTGATTTGTTTGATTATCGAATGTCCGATCCGATAGTCCGATCTGATTATATAACTACACACTTGCACAAATCACCAAACAATTTTCTTGTAATTTAATATGTCCTATTTTCTAAAATTTAAAAAATACACTGTCCTTATGAAATAAAAGAACAAGGACTTCCCTGATATTCCGAAAAGAAAAGCATACCAAATTAATTTTATAACTCCATCCATCTATATGCATAATACATTTTATGGTAAATATAAAGAATAAATAACAAACATGAATTTATAACAGAATACAAGTTACAACTTATGTTTTTAAAAGTGGGCATTACTTGAATTAATCCAATGCCATTAGTTACTTATGCTTCTTTTAAAAGTGAGCACTACTTCAAATTTCTCCAATAGTTAACAGTTAATAAGTTACATTTTCAAAAAGCATAACAATTACTAAAAAAAAAAAAAAAAAGTGGACACCTGGGATAAATTCTGGAATACACTAAACTGAAATATGGCAGAGGACCAAAAACAAAAGGTACTTCAGTTCTTCCACATAATATTTCATGTTGTCCATATGACCCTACAATAATATTTAAAATGTTAGTTTTTGCTTAAACATGTTAAATAAAGTGCTAAAAGTCATGAGTTTTACTGATCACCCTCTTTATGATATTATCCACCAGTCCATGTACTTTCTTGAGTAATGACAGGACCAAAATAAAAGGACAATGACTTCCTTGATATTCCGAAAAGAAAAACACACCAAATTAATTTTATAACTCCATCCATCTATATGCGTAATACATTTTATGGTAAATATAAGGAACAAATAACAAACAGGAATTTATAACAGAATACAAGTTACAACTTATGTTTCTTTTAAAAGTGAGCATTACTAGAAGTAATCCAATGCCATTAGTTACTCATGCTCCTTTTAAAAGTGAGCACCACTTCAAATTTCTCCAATAGTTAACAGTAAACAACTTACATTTTCAGAAAGCATAACAATTACTAAAAAAAATAGTGGACACCTGGGCTAAATTCTGGAATACACTAAACTGAAATATGGCAGAGGACCAAAAACAAAAGGTATTTCAATTCTTCTACAGAATACTTCATGTTGTCCATATGACCCTACAATAAAATTTAAAATGTTAGTTTTTGCTTAAACATGTTAAATAAAGTGCTAAAAGTCATGAGTTTTACTGATTACCCTCTTTAGGATATTGTCCACCAGTCTATGTACATTTCTTGAGTCATGACAGGACCAAAAAAACCTCCAAAAAATTGTCTGAATCATGACAAGACCAAAAACATTGCCTTCGTATATACTGATCATGGATGCACAACTGAAATAAAATTTAAAATGTTAGCTCATTCTAAACATCTTTAGTATTCTATTATAAATATAACATAACAAGATTTAACTAAATGCAACTTCCTTCCTTATAATACAGGTTAAAGGCAATATGAAACTCCAATATTTATTCTACAAAAAAAGAAAAAAAGAAAAAAAAAGAAAAGAAAATAAGGAGGTAATATACATTAACACACACACACACACACATCACATATTTTAAATTAACATACTTACTTTTTCCTTTTCGAGATGACAGACAATCTTTTGTAATCACTAAAGCCTCTACAATTTATGGAAGTAAGGAAGCACGTGATTCATTAATCACTCTACCTCCTACACTAAATGATGATTCAGATGCCACTGTAGTTGTTGGAGTCGCCAAAACATCACGAGCAATTCTTGCTAAAGTAGGAAGTTTAGCACTATTCACTTTCCACCAATTCAAAATTAGAAAATTTTCATTTCTTGGAAACAATGACTCTTCCAATTAATATTGCTCTAATTCTGACTTCTGATAAGTAAGAATATTAGAAGAGCAACCACGCAAATAGCATGCATCAAACCCATTGCGTTTTTTGTCCTTAGAATTCTCATTAGTATTGCCACTTGTAGACCCACTATCTCCTTGAACATAATTAAAAAATTCAGAATTAGGAGATTCAGTTTTATACTCACTGAAAAGATCAAAAAGAGCACCACGAACTCTTTCAACGTCTTTATTAGCATCATCACCATAAAACTTATCATAACAATATTGCACTAAGTCTAGCTTAAATCTTGGATAAAAGACAATGGCAACTACTAACACCAAACAACACTTCTCCCAATATTTACTGAACTTTGTTTTCATTGGAGCAACCATTAAATGAAGAAAACTATGTTCACTCATTTCCCATTCAGTCAAATGCATTTAAATATCACAAATATCATGAAAAAAAAAGATTTGAAGTTGGATACTCACTACCAGAAAAATGATTTGTTGCATCATAAAAAGTTTTCAAGCAACCACTTAAAACCGATGCCATTTCCCATTCATCATTAGATGGGTTAAATTTATAGCCACGATATGTTTGTGTTAACCGACAAAACACCTCTTTCACTTCCAATGCACTTTCAAGCATTAAAAAAGTTGAATTCCACCTAGTAAGGCAATCCATCTTTACCTTCTTTTTATCCCACAACTTGAGTTGATTTTTTGCATTATTGAACTTTTGTGTTGCATATGGGGATCTTTTTAAATATTTCACCGTTTCTCTAACCTTATGAATAAAGTCTTCGATCACTTTAAGGCGATCTTGCACAACCAAATTCAAAATATTTGCACTACAACGCACACGAAATAAAACCCCATTCAAAGGTAACAAAGACTTGTCACAAAGCCAACTTTTCAAGCCTCTTACCATCGCATCATTAATAGTTGCATTGTCAACCACCATACAAAATAACATTTTATCAAGATTCCAATCCAGAATTAAATCTGTGATGGATCTAAAAAGAGTTTCCATATCATGAAGATATTTTATGCACCTGTAAGCAAGGTTTTTTTTTTTTTTTTTTTTTTTTTTTTTTTTTTTTTTTTTTCTGTAATTCCCAATCTTCACCAATAAAATGAGATGTCAAACACATATATCCAATATCTTGATGATCAGAAGTCCATATATCAGTAGTAAGACTGATCCTACCAGAAAACTGATCAAAATAATTATACAACTTTTTTTTTTTTCTTTTCTTGTGCTTGAACTTCTAAAATGTCAGCCCTAACTGTATTCCTTAACACAAGTTTAAACATTGGTTGAAGTCCATTCACAAATATCTCCAAATATTCACGTTCAACCATGCTAAATGAATAGTTTTGTTTAATAACCATCCATGCAAAATCCATCCGACTTCTTTCTTGGTCAAACTTATGATTTTGAACTTTAGTTGTCGAGTCGAAAGCATTTTTGGCAAAAGCTAATATTTGTTAACCAACATGTCTTTGAGATTTTTCAATACATATAGACAAATAACTTTTTAGGTGTTTCTGGTCCCTTTACTACTTTCTCCTACAAAATCCCTTCTACAATATTTACACTTTGCAATTTCTAACCCATCTGCTCTTTTTTGTTTAGTAAAGTCCAACCATACCTTTGATGTCAACTTCCACTTTCTGGGAGAATTTCGAGCTGAAATGTCATGTACTTCAATGACGTCCCCATCACCATCATTTTCATTAGCTTTTTTAGACATTGCGAACAATGGAGCAAATACTACAACCATATAATATTCATTAATTAGATAGGAAACGTGAAAAAGAAAAAATTGAGAGTCAGTTTATAAAGATAGAATTATGAAAATATTATACCAAAAAATGTAATAAAAATTAAATTGAGAGAAAAGACTAATAGAAGGAAAACAAAAGAAAATAACTAAAAGATTATATGAAAGAGAAAAGAAAAAAAAGAACAACACAAATTAGGGTAAAATAGGTCATGTAAACATGGAATTTTTAGCTTCTAACTTGTATATGAGAATACGAATAAGAGAGTAATAGAAGGAAAACAAGAGGAAAGAACTGAACGATTTTACGAAAGAGAAAAGAGATAACAAACAACACAGATTAAGGCATTATGTAAACATAGAATGATAAAAAAAAAGAAAAAAAAAAGTAAAAAAGAAAATACAAGAGAAATATGATACCGGAGGGTTCGATCAAGAATCTCTTTCTATTAACTCAATCACTTGGTTGCTCGATCTCCCTCTATCGTCGCTTCGTTGGATCTCTTTCTCTCTTTGATTCACTATTGATTCTTGAAATAAGTCTCCAGATCTATTCACTGGATATTATTTGAGAGGTGCTAATATGTTGGCTACTACATTATATGATTATGCAACCTATTGATTTAACGGTACATAATTACTAATAAATAATCCAATGGTGTATAATTAATACACACACATATATATAATATTAATATTAATATATTATTATATATATATAATTTTAATTCGAATCGGATCGATAAAATTCATATATGATTTGTTAAGCAAACAGGTTATCGAATCCGGATCATAAACGGGTTATCGAATTTTTTGTTTAATTCATATCTGATTAATCAGATTGGATTGGAATCAGAATCTGATCCAGTGACAGGTCTAATGCCAACACTCGGGAGCATTGACTGGGATACTTCAACGAACGATCATTTGCTCAAACGAAATCTTGATCTAATAGACGAAAAGAGGGAAGATGCAACAATTAGATTGGCCTCATACCAACATACCTTGGCACGAGGACATAACCGGAAGGTGAAACACCAAGCCTTCACTCCAAGATAAATGGTCTTAAAATGAAAGTTGGGATTAGTGCCTAAAATAGAACCCCATTGGGAATGCCCCTACCAAGTAACAGAAGTTGTGGGGAAAGGAGCGTATAGGCTTGAAACATTATGAGTAAAACAAGTGAGCAAACCATGGAACACCACCTACTTGAAAATGTACTATTATTAAAACAATATCCTCTGTTTATGTTCGTGCCTTGTGAAGTGCCAAGATGTGGCACCCGCAATTAAACAGTCAATGAAAACTTCATTACCAGAAGTGCAACTGTGATAAATTTATTTGCATCAAAGAATGTCAAAAGAAATGACCCAAAGAGGTAAGTGGTGTAACTAGCCGATCGTCTAGCACTTATAAAAAATTCCAAGTAAAAAAAGTGGCAAGTGGCACTAAAAGCCGATCACCAAATACTTAGGAAATTTTACAAAAAAGAGAAAAGTGAAAGAGGCACGTGACACCACTAGCTGATCACCTAGCACTTAAAAAAAATTTCAAGGGAAAAAAAGGTGGCAAGTGGCACTAAAATCCAAGCACCACTAGCTGATCACCTAGCACCTATAAAAAATTCCAAGTGAAAAAAAGTAGAAAGTGACACTAAAAGCTGATCGCCAAACACTTAATAAATTTTACAAAAGAGAGAAAAGTGAAAGAGGCAAGTGACACCATTAGCCGATAGCCTAGCACTTATAAAAAAATTTCAAGTGAAAAAAGTGGCAAGTGGCACTAAAAGCCGATCGCTAAACACATAGGAAATTTTACAAAAAAGAGAAAAGTGAAAGAGGCAAGTGGCACCACTAGCCGATCGCTTAGCACTTATAAAAAAATTTAAGTGAAAAAAGTGGCAAGTGGCACTAAAAACAGATCACCAAATAGAAAATTTTACAAAAAAGGAAAAAGTGAAAGAGGTAAGTAGCACCATTAACAGATCGCAAGTGGCACCACTAACCGATCGCCTAGCACTTGTTATGTTATTTGTTCAATTAAGATGGAAAGAAGCATAAATGATTTGAGCAAATAAAAATATTTTTATATATAGGTGAAACTTCATTACATAAAAAGTTTCTTTGTATAAAGGAAACTTAAATAAATAATAATAATAATAATAAACTACTTATTGATTTTAATGTCCCGATCTTGGCCTTCTGTGTTTGGGGTGGGAGAATCGAGGTTGATGGGGTTCTCCTCGGTTGCAGCAGTAGTTGGAGCCACAGTCAGATCTGTGATTTCCCCACTGGAGACTCCTTGCTCATCCTGAGAAGGGAGGCTGGAAATTCCTCCAGTAGGAACTACTAGAAGCACGGGAGGAGAAGGAAGAAGTTCAGCCAGAATTACGCCGTAATCTTCAGAAACCCCCTCTGCTAAGTCTTCAACTGGATCGACATAAGATCCAGAAAAATCAACGGACAGCTCCATGTCACATGCGTTTGGATTGGCAAAGGCCTTTTTAGGCCCCTCGGGTAAGGGATGATAGAAAAACCCCTCCCTGTAACCTTTGGCATACCTAATGGCAGCCGTTCGGGAGAAACGGGTCACCACTGCCTTAATTCCCATAGGAACCCGGCTAAAAAGGTCAATAAGCTGAACTCGGTCGGTGCTGGCAGCCTTCAGCTGCTTCTCAACTTTAAGCCTAATCGCCCTTTCAACCTCCAATGCCGCTTCCAGGTCGTTCCTCTCTTTCTGAGATTGACCAAGTTGGGACTTTGCCTTGCCCAGGTCAGTGAAAAGCTTCTTGACTGTGTTCTCCAAGGTTTGAATCCGATCCCTAGATTCAATAGCCCTTTGTATAGCCGTCATCCCAAACACCATCTACATAAACAACATAAATTACTTAGCTCCCAAAGTAAAAATGATTCAACAATAAAAAAGTGAAGGAGGATGGAAAATCAAGTTACCTCCATGGTGCTATTAGGGAAGTGGGTGAACATCTCCCTCCTATCTAATTTATCCTGAATCTATTGATCCTTAGGGATCAATAGATTCTTGTAATAGGACAGGGCAATGGGGGCATGCTTGAACATGGAGTAAAGAGGAGTCACCATGACACTGCCACCCTGATCGTCTGGTTTGAAGAATTTTGGACTCTAAGCAGAGAAAGGCACCACGGGTCCCTCAAGACCATCGTTCTGGTCCCTTGGGCGAAAGAATTGTTGCCAAAGCACGATCCCACCAATCGGAGCCTCCTCCTAGGGGCAGTGTCCCCTTGATCGACAGCATGTCTCTTCCCCAAGGATACACCCTGGAGAGAATACTGAGTCTCAGAAGGTGAGGCTGGACATTCTCCTCAATAGAGGCATTGGCGGGATGCCTGCTGAACGATCGAAGCTAAAGACGAACCATTTTCTTAGCAGCAGTGGCAATGTTTTCGAGATGTTCGAGAGAGAGTAAGGACAGACTAGAAAGAATGTTGTTCCACATGTTCTACTTTAGATACCTAAGCCTGCCTAAACAGATTGTATAATAAAGAAGCTCATAAGGGATATCCAAAAATCGGCAAATAAACCTGTAGAAGTGAGGAAAATAATATTCACACACATACTCATATTTATGTTGTTTGTGAGAAGGGTAAGGAGAAAGGGCATATTTCCCAAATCTGATGGGTATAGTGGCAGAATTGGGGCGTTTCCAGTTCCCTAAACCATAACTATCGTGTGCCTTTAAGTTTTTTGAGAGTCAGGGTTCCCTTACAGAAGGATCGGCCACGAATCGGGAAGAAGTGATACCTGTAATCAGCCCTCCTCGAATGGTCTGCGTACCTAGTTTTTATTATCTTATAGCAGAAGAACAAATCAACAATGGAAAGATCTAACTCGTAACTATGATTTAAAGCTAGCAAAACGGAGATAATTCTAAAAAAGTTTGGATTAACTTGAAAAGGCGTAAGATTCCATTTATTCAGGACAAGATTAAACAAAGGGTGTAGTGGGAACCTAAAGACTTCTACGTGAAGGGCATAGAAAATCATCACCCCCTCAGATAGACCCCTACCAATCTCATAATCGGCATCATTGGGATAAATTTTGAGTTTAATATCATTTGGGATCTGATAAAGTCCGCAAAAGACATCAACATCGATAGACATGATAAAGAAAACCCCGGGAAATTCAGAGATAAGGAACAAAGGAAAAACACAACTAACCTTGCTAGGGAACAGACGGAACCACACCAACAAGGTTTGCTGTGAGAAAGAAAGTCACTGGAGAAGAAAGAACAATGATTTTAAAAATGGAAGGCACACTTAAGTCAAGGCAAAGTACGCAAGAGGCAGAGAGGAAAATCCGAAATGAAAGGAATGGTATATAAAGACAATGAAGTAACTACGATCGAGAAATTCAAAGGTCAAGCAATGATGACAACACAAAACCCAAACAGTTCACGACGTACCATTGCGCACTCATGTGAGAATCCCGATATATACATGCACGACCCAAGAACGTGGATATATACATCTATCCCACATTTATAAGGGACAATTGTATGGGTAAGATAAAGGGGCAAAAATGCTTACTGGGTCGGTTATAACCTAGCCTACCCATTTGGGAGTGGCCCAGTCCAATCCCTGAGCCCATCCACATATATATCGAGCCCAACCTTTAAAATGGATAGACCCAAGATAAGGACCAGCCTAGTTGACTTTGAACTTGGGGTCCAAAAGGAAATTAGGGTATGAATAATGTATGATAGATAGGGAAAAGAGGAAAAAGAAAATGAATGATTATTATTATTATTATTATTATTATTATTATTATTTTATATAAGTCCAGAAACTCTCCATTAATAGAAAGGGATTTTCTGAGCAACTACAGAAGTAAAGAAAAAAAAACTTTGTTAAATTTTATTCAACAACTGTTTCAGTTTTTCAAAACTTCAATTTTATTCCTTTTTTTTTTTTTTTTTTTTTTTTTTTTTTTTTTTTATAAATTTGATTACAATCTGTAAGTTTTGAGAGGATAGACATATAAGTCTATATATATATATATATATATATATATATATATATATATATATATTTTGTAAGCAGGTCATTGAACGAAAAAGATTGAAAAAATGGTTAATGTACTTTTATCCTTTGCACTCTTGAATTCATATAATGAATATTATACATGTGTATATATAAATTTCTGTAAGTTTTCAGAGGATAGAAATATTTATCAATAAAATGTTTGTATGAGTTTTAAGAGTACATAAATATTATTTATAAATTTATAATATCGGGGATAATAAAAACGTGTCTAGAAGAACTTTTGAGGGGACCAATTTTATTTTTATATTTTTATAAGCTCTAGGGGCTATAAGTTAGGTTTATTTATAAATTAATATGTTGAAGTTAATATGTTGCAAGTCTAGTTAAATTTTACCTTTACTATTATATTGGAAATATAATTTTTGGTGATATGATTTTTAGTTGAGAAGTGTGCTCAATGTAATGGTGTCTTTCCAATTTTTTTGAGAAGTATAAAATGTATTAGATCCTTAGAATTCAAT